CTCCTCCATGCAAACTGCTCCATGCGCTGCTCTGCGTTGCCCAAGGGCAGAGAGGGCGAAGAAGAGACGCATCACATGATCCCATCCCCCATTCCTGTCCCGAGGTCAGCGTGGTTTGTGATGATGTTTTTGTTCAGCGAAACCTCCCGCTGTATCCCCGTTAATTCCTTGTTCCAAACACTTCGTTCTGCAGTTCCCACTTCACTTAGTGTGTACATTAGATTTGTCACCCCAAGAGGATTCTTAGCGTCACATTCTCAAATCCAATGTGACAGCTGCGACTTCTGTGAACAGAAACTGTAGTTTTCTGAGCTGTGCCCATTTTCTAGTTCCTCTCCACAACCCAGGGTCACGTGAACTGGACAGGCAGCCACCATCCCACCAACCAACGAAAGAGCACCGCTATAATCTTACCCAAACCATGTCGGCATGATGAACTTGAGGCCTTCAGTGGAGGGCTCTATCTGACAGGGTATTCGCCCTTAACGAGAAGGAGTTTTCTGGATTAATTTCATCTTTTGCGCAGTAAACTTTCCCGATTACGTCCACCTAACAGAATTACTCACGTATGATTACTGGATACCACAGGTTACTTTCCGTTGGTTCCTTACGAAGTGCAATTGCGGTGTCCACGGTGCTATATTATCCCCACCGCAAACCACTGTCCCCTACTCCCGCCACTTTCGCCACTAAGAGAGCAGTTTCTTCCCTGACTGTTGTTTCGTAGGTAGGTAAGCGGGGAGTTCTTTCCTTCTCCCGACGGCCCTATTCATAGTACGCCTCAGTTCCCGGAGGTTCCAGGGCTCTCCCTTATCCGTGGCGAAGTCTATTTGTCACAAAGAGAACCTCGTTGAGGAATCCGTATGCTAACGGGTAATTTCCCGTAGATCCCGTCCGTTGACGGGTAATTCTGGGACCGATTCCGTCGCCTAGCGACGAGTGCCCTGCTGCAGAATGCAAGGAAACAAGCCCAATTGAATGCGTCCGTGCGGTGTGGCTTTCCGCCATGCCTCCAACCAAACCTTCGCAGAAAGTTTGCCCCCCGTAGGTTCGGGGGAGTCCATCTCGTTGCCTCGCCTCTGCTGTCTGTCACCCACCTGTCGCCTAGCTTTGACTAGCTTCGCCCCAAAATACCCACGTACTCGGCTCACTTACCCAGGCTTTTTCCAGACTTGAATGTAAAATGCCCGAGAGTTTATGACCAAAACGCGTCACACATCAGTAGGCTGAGGGAGGCAACTGCGCATGCTGACCCGACCTCCCCCCACCTCCTCCGCTTCTTGCCCCAGCCAAGCCGAGCCAGCAGTCGACGCGTCACATACGCGGAGCCGCTGTGGTTTGGTCCTCGCTCGCCCCGCTTCCGATCTGCTCTGCTCGTCCCGTGCCTTCTGTTCTCCATTTCATCCTCCCTCCCCCCCCCCTGCCACTTGCCCCGCGGAGGGTGAAAATTGGGTGAAAATTGGGCGGCAGCAACAGTTTTTTAGCACCCTGACCGTTTCTGGGTCATCATAGAGCACTTCCGTGTTCTTAAGGGGATTTCTGAAGTACTAGAATTTGTGACGTCCAAGGACGTCACGAGAATGCACGGTACGGTAGTTTATATTTGATGTTTGAATATAGTGATCTCCTGGTTCCGCGATGTCCCGAAAACGTTACACTCCTACTTCGGACACCCCATAAAAGGCACGAGCCAGTAGACGGTTTGAATCCGATACCTTCACGACGACAGTTCCAAAATGCGGGGATCTAACATTGTAAACATCGGTCGTCTAGAAAACGAAGGTCGTCGCTTTTTCCAGGGGTCTCTCAACCGGCCTCTTTGGTGATGCTTCGCGAGGGTGACAGCTCCCTGCAAAGAGAACCGTTGAAAATACCAGCGTCGAAAATAACGCAGGCCAGGTGTACTTCCCCCCATCTATGCAGACATCTCCCTCCGCGCACCCTCACCCCCGCGTCCCGTTCCCAAATCCCGACCATCCGCACATGCGAGCTTCAAGCAACGCATCGGATTTCGCGACGCCTCGCACTCATTTCTCGAGCTTTTATTCTATCTCAGGCGATAATCTCCTGCTCATGAGTTAATTATGGCCGCTGTCTCCTCCCGATCCATTCATCCTTCCTCGCCCACCCGAGCGCCGTCTTCCTTCTGAGCTTGGCCTTCATCATCGCGTAGTCGAGTAGGTAATCAGGTGCTCCCGGCAGTATTTCTCGGTCGCTGCTTCGTGTTGTTTCACACTCAATTTCCTTGCGCCGAATTCTACGAATTCTTGTAGTACTAGCAGTATCCGTCGCTCACGATAGTATCGTCTCTTCATACCTACAAGCTTGGCTGACAGTAGTAACCGTCTCCTGAAACGCATCCTCTCTCGTGAAACATCTCTTACATTTATTTAATTTCTTACAGTTATTCCAGTTATTTCAATTTATACATTCATTAGTATGTGCTTCTCCCCAAATGGACACCAGCGGCCCAACTCTCGCCGCGGCAGTCCGCAGGCACGTTCAATGATAGGCCTTCGCTGCGAGGGACTCCTTCCGATCAGATTTTCTAATCGGATCTTCGAGCGGATCTTCCAGATCTGTCATCCTCAGGGTCGTCTTCCGCCGATGCCGCCGCGCTTCCCGCAGATTTCACCATGAGGTCGGACTCGACGCTTCAGCAGCAGCAGCAGCTGTTGGCAGCGGCGTAGCTGGCATCTCGAGGCGCCGCTCCGGCTCGAGTCTCTCGTCGCGGCTCGCTGCAGCGATGCCTCCTCCGTCTCCGCCGCCGCAGAAAGCGGCGGTAGCGCGAGCTGCGGTCGGCGGCAGCAGGCGACGAAGAAAGGCCGGCGTTGCGATTCCGCGCGCGCGGACGGCTCCATCCCGCCACAGCGCAGTCGGTGGCGCCGTCAACAGCGATGCCTTGACGACCAATTCCCCAATTGCCTTGGACTCGTGGAGGCTTCCACCGCCCCGGCTGCTCTCGCGCACGCGAACTTGCGCCGGGGACGGCGGGGAGCGCGGGGAGCATGAGCGCAGACGCCACTACCGCTAGCCCGAGCTCCGCTCGGCGCGCACCTCTGAACATCCGTCGCGGAACGGCGTCGTCGAGTCGCTCCGGGACGGCGGTTCAGCGAGGACGGGACGGCCTGCGACGGGCTACTCGTGTCGCTGGCGTCGCACGAAAGAGACCACGGCGACGGAAGAAATGGTCGTGCAGGGATGTCGCTACTCTTAACAGCAGCAGCAGCAGCGGAAGCACGGGTAGTCCGTGCAGTATTCTTTCCCCCTGGAGCACGGGGAGCGCCTGTAGCACTGGCAGTTTCCAGCAGCGGCAGCAGCAGCGCCGCACTTTCCCCCGGCTCCTGCGGCGGCGTCAGCAGCCCCGGCTTCTTCTCCCCCGACTGTAGCTGCTGCGCCGGCTACATCCGCGCCGCCAGCTGCCGCGTCGTTCGCTTCCGCAGCTGGTTCCGCGCATCCGCCGCTGCCGACGACGCCGTCCCGCCTGCAGCGGTCGATGACGAGCGACCGCCTGCTCATCCTGCAGCGGCGGAGCGGACCCTCGCAGAGCAGCAGCGGCAGCGGCAGCAGCAGCAGCAGTGGAGTGAACAGATGCAGCAGCAGCAGCAGCAGCAGTTCCGGCTCTTACAGCAGCGGCAGTACTACTGCTGATAACAGCAGCGGCGGTCGCTTGAATCCGTCCGGCGGGGATCCGAGGCGGCCGCCTGAGGCTCCGAGGCACGCGCGGAGGCACTCGGTGTCGTTTATGGAGAGGCGCGCGTGTGACCCCCTATGCACGTGGCAGTGACGCGCACCAGCTGATGCAGCTTCAACAGCAGCAGCAGTTTCAACAGCCGCGGGTATCGAGTGGCGTTTCCCCCGCTTCGTCGCCGGTGCCAGTCTATCGCACGCGGTCTAGCGTCAGTGTGAGGAATCTGTTGCCAACAACTCCGACAGCATCAGTGGAGGTGACGCAGCAGCAGCAGCAGCTGTATACCAGCCACGCCGTATCTCCCACCACGCCACCTCCTCCCGTGGCCAGCCGCTCCCAGCGCCGAATCGTCCGGAGCTCGTCTGTGCCTGCCAGAGACGTGCTCTTCCGACCGTGAGCACCACCAGCCGCCCGGAGCACACCAGCCCCATCCGCATTGCACCCAGCAGCACTGCAGCGGGGAGCCGGAGTCCCAACGTGAGGAGCCCTAGTCCAGTGGCAAGGAGCCCTAGCCCGAACGCCAGGAGCCCGAGCCCCAAGGCCTGTCTCTCGACCCACCACACGGCACCTGATGTGACCACCGCCACGTCAAAGCCATCGAGGCACGCGCGGCGAGTGTCGTTCAGCGCCGTTGTCCACGTGCGCCGATTTTCTGACTGCCCGGTGGTGGATGACTTTTCGAAGCTCCCTGGAGCAGGAACTGCCCGTGTGGCCGGTCAGCAGCAGCAGCAGCAGCAGCAGCAGCGAATCTTCACCAAAGTTTTTGCCGACTCCGCCCCCCCAGGAGGCAGAGCTCCCTGGACATGCCCTCGCCTGAGACCAGGAGGCGGGTGGCCAAGCTCAAGGCTCTGAATGATTGGAGCCATGGCTCAATCAATGCTTCAGGACCCCTGTGACTGGGCTGAGCACCCTCCGGTTTTTATCACAGTAGTAACCTCTGTGGGATTCTGCAGAGTTGGCTCAGTAGTGGTAACCACCATGTGTGGTATGCAGTGTGTTTGATTGTGGACGTTGTGAGGTTGGTGAGGTCTCTGCGTTAGCCTATCTCTGTAGGGTTTGTGTTTGCACCATATGCCCCATACACGCTTGTATGGCATGGCATCATGTATGCAACAATAGTGGTTTAGTGTACACTTAATCATCATATTTATTCATGTGGTACAGTTGCCCTTTGTTGTCACCTAAATCAATATTTTTACTGACTCTTGTAGCGCTACTTGTTGTATTTTACTGCTATTGAAGCACATAATGGCTGGCTGATATTTCGGCTGATCTGCCTGCATTGGGCCTTTGCAAGGACCACAGGAGCAAGGCAGGCATCCTCCCAATTTCTGTGGCCAGCGGATGCTGCTGCTGGCCAAGATGCAAAAGTGGGTTCATAGCGAGTGTTGTCGCCGTTGGTTGGGTGAGGGATGTGTGTGAAAGGAAGCAGTTGCTGCTGAATGTGGAGTGAGTGGTGGCTGTGAGGTGAGATTAGGCAGACATGACGTCAGAGTAGGGCGGGGCGATGATTCAAGTCACGTGACACCTTTGATAATTGCATCCGTGAGATTCCTTCTTTGGTCAGGATGAACTTCTGGTGTGACAGCAAAGTCGGTGAATCTGCCTAAGGGCGGGGTACATCACCCCCAAGGTCTGGTTCGAGCAAGGTTCGCGGAGGCAAACTTCGCGCTACAGTAATCCCATGTAACGCAGACAGCAGCACCACATCCCCAGGGTTGCAATGTGATAATTTTGGTAGCTCCAACCAGATGCAACCTTGGGGCAAATTTGCCTCTAGGGTGAGGGTTGCCTGCTTCTGGTACATGAGGGTTACGGGAAACCCCCAAGCCTCCATACCAGGACGGGCCCTGGCTACCCAGCCGTGAGGGCCGGCCTTTTGACCGCAAACCCCAAAAAACGGGTTCGTGTACCGCGCCCTAATACATTCCATATCCAGCTTGGTGCTCCCGGGAGGAAGTCTTATTTCTAGTGTAAATTGCGGTGCCCCGGCATCGAACTGACTGTTTGCGTCTGCTTGGTGGATGACAACTTGCATTTCATCATTACCCCCATGACTAGCCGTTTTTGTTTCCATACAAAAAGATGCGAGTTCTATATTTAATATAATCTTCATTTTATTCTTCCAGCTTACAATAGGACTCCAACTGTTTTGAAACGAATTTTTCCGCATTCCTGCCCTGAAACTATTTCGGCTCCCTTCCAAAAAGTCCCTTGCAAGCGCATGCGGCAAATAAGGACATGCGTAGGACAAAAACTGTGCAGCGCGCCACATCTCCCGTTCTCTGCTCGAGCTGCCCTTGGGCGACGAATATTCTGTGCCCAGAGGAGCAGGGGAACGGCTCTCTTGTGCACTCGCCTCCATCGTAGGGCAATCGACGATGACCCTGATAATCGACCTGCAGTCGCTCTCCGCTGAACGACACGAATACCGAATCTGACGACGCGTTCAGCCAGAACAGAGCGGCAAACTGCGCATACTGTCACTGTCGCAGGATTCCATGCGAGCAGGTTTTGGAAATAATTGATGGGGTTAACTGTCGCAAAAAGCCGTCGCAAAAACTTCAGCCCAACAGCACATACATCCGCCATGCCATTCCATCCAAGCCCTCCCGTCCCCCTGCCCCCTACCCCAACCTACTCCATGCTACTCCCATGGCATCTCTCCTACACTAACTGTCAATCTCTCTTTTCCCCTCTTCCCCTTCCCCTCTCAGCTTCCCCCTTCAGCTTCCCTGCTCAGTTTCTCTTCTCAGTATCCTGCTGGGTTGGGAGCCTGAAACCTCCACCTTACATTGCCATGACTGATAAGTCTCACTCCTTGTCCCTTCTCACCTCTGCTTTACTCAAGCAACTATTGATCATTCTGAACTGAAGAAATCAGTAACACCAACCGGCCTCAGTGCATGTGGTATCGTTCGCAGTCTACTGTCTGCTTATGTTCTGTTCAGTCTAGCAGAATCTTCTGTGGAGAGCCGAGGGAGTGCTTTCTACTGCTACTCTGAGCCCTGCAGTCACACCATTCGTTTCTGGCTCCCACTGTCGTTAGCTTTTGTTTTGCCGACCCCACTATATCCGCACGTTGACCTCTGACGTCGTCATTTTCACACTTCAGTTCGTCCGCGTTGTCATTGTCGCGTTCCAGTAATATTCTCAAGTCAGAGGGGAGCTTCAGCGATGGCTTGTGTCGTGAATGCCAGGACCAGCCAGGTGGGAAGCGCTGACGCTGACCAGGCTGTAGTCCAGACAGGTTCCAGCAACGCTTTCAGGGAGAGGACCAGCGCCGATTATGGTGCTTACCTGGGTGTTCGCGAAACGCCGATCGCGAAGAAACATCCCGCGTTGACGAAAAAGGGTGCGAGTAAGGTTGACCTAAAGGCGAAAGCTCGACGATCGTCGAGCGTCGCCGAAGCAACGCTGGCAACCGAAGCGGATACGGCCTCTCAAGAGGACGGCAGCAAGGGTACCGGAGGCGGATCGATGAGCTCTTGCTTGGTTGACGATCGCCCGGAGGGAGCCGCTGAAACAAACGAAGCTTCCGCGAGGGACATCGCAGTTGATCACTCGTTTCAAGACAGGACGGCTGGAATCGGAAATGCGTGTGAAGTCAGCCCAGAAATGTTGGACGGATGCGATATCTCCACGTGGCCTGATTTCACCGTCGATCCGCTAGGAGCTGGCGAAATCGACGATCTCGATGGTCCTGGTAACCTGGGTAACCTGATGTTACCCGATCCGGAGGATACGCTTCTGGACAAGCCGTCTGGCGAAGCTACTGGAGTGAAACGTGAACCTGATGCTACCGAGGATACTCGACCGTCGGAGACGTTTCATTCAGAATCGCACCTGAACGATCAAAGCGACATGACTTCAAAGGACACCAGCAAGAATCAGGCTCAGAAGAAAAAGCCCAAGGTTAGTTTAAAACCCGTTTTTTCGATGTGAAGCGTGGTGAGCGTCATGCGTCGGATGAACTTTCCGTCTCGACATTGATCGATCAACTACTGATTGGCTTGTCGGCTAATTGTTTTCCGGTGGCTTGTCGTCGCTTCTCCTCTAGCCGTGGACCTACAGCCACTGGTTGCGGCATTCCGTCGTCATTCTCGCTCGCATCGTCTGTCGATTTCAGTCGTTACTCCGTATCCCCGCATTTCCCTTGCGCCACTGACTGTTCCCCTTTCAGGTGGACTGGACGCCAGAGCTTCACAGAAGATTCGTCCAAGCGGTGGAGCAGCTAGGCGTGGACAAGGCGATCCCGTCGCGCATTCTCGAGCTCATGGGCGTCAAGTCCCTCACGCGCCACAACATCGCCAGCCATCTCCAGAAGTACCGCTCGCACCGCCGCCACCTCGCCGCGCGGGACGCGGAAGCCGCCAACTGGCACACCACCCGCGCACCCGCCGACTCCGCCGCTTCTGGCGGCGCCTGGCCCACCGCTGCTGCTGCTGCTGCTGCTCCTGCGGGGACGCCTGGGGGGAAGCCGGGGCCTATGTGGGGTTCCGGAGTTCCCCCTGCAGGTGCGGCTGCTTCAACTGGCGGTAGTCCAGCGGCTGGAGTTCCCAATGGGCTTCCGGGTGGCGTTTCGCAAGGTGTTCCGACGGGTCATCCTCCCCACATGATGCCGCCTCGGCAAATGGCCGGCATGATGCCATGCCCGCCTATGCCGTTCCATCATCAGCCATATGGCAACATGCCGATGATGCATCCGCATCAAGCGTCCCCTGGGATGAGCCCGATGATGCCTCCCCACCCGCCGCCGGCTATGGGCATGCCGGTGTGGGGCCATCCTACGTCAGGGGGAGCGTCGTCGGGGGGGTATGCGCGGCCGCACATGTGGGGACATCCGCAGCAGCAGCAGCAGTGTCAACCGCAACAGCCGCAACAGCAGCAGATGCAGCCGCGGGTGGCGGCATACCCCCCTCCCTCGTGGCTTGCCGTTGACGGTGCCTCTCCCTGGCACCACTATCCCGCGGTAAGATAAACACTTCAAGCTCGTCATCTAATTCGCACGTTTTCTGCGTCGTTGTATCCGCACCTCCCGATCCCCCCTTCCCCCCCACCCCACACACACAACCCACTTCTTCTCCCTCATTCCCATCTTGTTCTTTTCTTGTCGGCTATTCACTCCTACCGTCTCTCGTTCCTCTTAATAACTTCGTCAACTTACCTGATGTTGATTCCTCTCTTGACCCTCCTCCGTTTCTTCCCCGTCTCCTCCCCCCCCCCCCCCCAACTCCCACCCCCACCCCCCCCCCCCCACTCCCACCCCCATCCCCTTCCCCCCCTCCCCCTGCAGTTCTCGGCCGGCCCTCCTCCGATGGACGCGTGGCCCCATCCCGGCATGCCAGCGCGCGGCATGCCCTGCTTTCCCCCTCGCCAGCACCAGCATCCGCTCAGCTTCCCCATGCCGCCCAACAGCGCGCCCAACGGCATGGTCTGCGGGGCGCCTGTCTGTCCGCCTAGCAGCATACAGCACAACGGCACTCCTGCGTCCGGAAACCATCCGAACGGGGCCGCTGCCATGCCGTCCCCCTTCCACGGCATGCCCATGATGCCCGGCCTTCCGCACGCCCCCGGATTCGGGCCTTCCCTCCCGCTCGGTTGGGGCATGGGGGGTAAGCTTCCGGGAGCAGCGGACGGTGCGGGAGCGGGGAGCGGCGGCGGGGGGGGCTGGTGAGGGTGGTGCGGGGCATGTGGCGGATGAGGCGATGCCGAACCCCATGTTCCCGCTCTCGGATGACCTCTCGGTGGACCTTGCGGCGATTTCGGCTAGCATTGGCGACGACCTGCACGAGGTGAGCAGCTGGGGTTGCGTGTTCGAGTGCATGTGCTGAATGGTGTAGCTCACAACGCAATGTCAAGTGCTGCGTGTGCATGTGTTCAGTGCCGTGTTGCTAAAGCTAAAACAAGTGCGCGTTCCGGGGTTTTGTTTTACTTTCTTTTTTTCTAAGACGCCTAAAAAATCGTGCTGCGTGCTTGTGCACGTGTTCAGTGCCTTGTTGTTAATGCCAAATCGAGTTCGCGAAACCTGGTCCTCGACCTGCGTTGACGTTGGTGACAATTTGCGTAAATTAGGCTACTGATTTTATGAGGTCTTGTTGTCAGTCCACTTTTAACCTCTCCCCGCCCTCCTCTCCGCTCCCCGCCTCTCCTCTCCTCAGGCCAAGACATCCTTGACGCGGCCATCAGTGAGGCCCTCACCAACCCCGCTACGCCGCCGCCTCTGGGCCTCAAGCCCCCATCGCTGGTGGGTGTTGTCAGTCGACTCATACACCCTCTCCCCCAATCCCTGCGCTCTCCCCTCCCCGCTCACCCCTCAGGCCAACGACATTCTCGATGCGGCCATCAGTGAGGCCCTCACCAACCCCGCTACGCCCCTGCCTCTGGGCCTGAAGCCCCCATCGCTGGTGGTTGTTGTCAGTCGACTCATACACCCTCTCCCCCACTCCCTGCGCTCTCCCCTCCCCCCTCTCCCCTCAGGCCAACGACATTCTCGATGCGGCCATCAGTGAGGCGCTCACCAACCCCGCCACTCCCCTGCCTCTGGGCCTCAAGCCCCCATCGCTGGACGGCGTTCTGGACGAGCTCAACCGCCAAGGCATCAGAATGCCCGCCTCCAATGCATCTCCCGCTGCTGCTGATGCTGCTGCTGATGCTGCTGCTGATGCGTGTGCTGATGCCGCTGCTGCTGCCGGCACTGGTGACGCGGACGGCACTGCAACTGATTTCGCGATGCTATCTGAGGCTGACATCCTTGCTGCTGCCGCTGGTGACGATGGCGATGGTGATGTGGCTGACGATGGCGAGGGTGTGCTTTCGCTGGCGGACTATCCTGCCGCGCTCTTCTGCACCCCTGAAGCCATGGCCGCGGCTGCCTCGTTTCTCAAGGAGGAAGCTGTTTAGCGAGCGTAGCGCCAGGAAAATGCGTATTCAGGGGAGCGCGGCTGGTAGGTGCTGGTAGGTATTCGGAGTCACCGCAATAGCAGCGACGCAGCGTTTGGAGTGTGTGCTAGTCGCAGGCAGATTCCGTGTGGCCGGGTCAAAGGTTGACCTTGGCGGGTTCGAATCCATAGCAAGCAGCGGTCAGAGGGTTGAAACGACGAGCAGAGCAGTTTCGAGCCATGCGGATGATCGACTCGACTTCGTATCAATCCTCTCGCCTGACGCTGTGGCTATGAGTGGCAGCACCTGAAGACAGCAGCTGAGGTGGGTTGTGAGCCTGCTGGAGTTGGTAGCAGCAGCAGCTGGGGTCTGTCATAGCTGCAGCTGGGGTCTGTTGTAGCAGCAGCTGGGGTCTGTTGCAGCAGCAGCTGGGGTCTGTTGCAGCAGCAGCTGGGGTCAGTTGTAGCTCCAGCTGGGGTCAGTTGTAGCTGCAGCTGGAGCAGCTGGGGTCAGTTGTAGCAACAGCTGGGGTCAGTTGTAGCAGCAGCTGGGGTCAGTTGTAGCAGCAGCTGGGGTCAGTAGTAGCTGCAGCTGGGGTCAGTTGTAGCTGCAGCTGGGGTCACTTGTAGCTGCAGCTGGGGTCAGTAGTAGCTGCAGCTGGGGTCAGTTGTAGCAGCAGTGGGTTCAGTTGTAGCAGCAGTCGCAGCTGTGGCTGAGCCCTGCAAACAAATCTCTCTAATAAATAGCCAATCTCGCTTATCAGGGTTCTTTTCTTGGCTTGCTTGTCAAAGCTCCTTGCGGTGGTAGGGTAAATGTGCGTGCTAGGAGTACAACTGACAGTGTGCAACTGACACCTCACTTCACCAGCAGGGGGCAAGGCCTGCTGGGGAGGAGGATTCCAGCAGGGTCACCTTTTTGCAGGGGAGGTGGTGAACAGGGAGCGCGGGCCATGGAGTTAGGCGACTTTGGAGCAGGGCATGTACTGACGGCCTGAAGCAGGCTTGTAGTACGATCATGAGACGAGGCTGCTGCTGCTGCTGGTGGTCGGTTCCCTCTGTTGTGGCATCCATCTCTCTTGCCCGGTTTCTTTCTCCCTCTTCTGCTCACTCGTTTCCTGGTTGTCCTATGCTCCACAGCTCTCTCTAGTACCGTAGCTGCTTTGTCCAAAGGTGGGGTTCTATCAGACTCCTCCCTTGCCCTTTTTTTGTCCATGTACACAAGTTCCCAAAAAAACTAAATATTGCGCTTTGTGAAAAGCAGTGCCGCTTGTTCTGGTTCATGTGTCATGCTCAAGTATCTTATGAGGAGCAATACATTAGTGATGCGATTTGTGAACCTCACAATATACACTGAACTCCTCGCCTCACTCACACTAATGGGAGTGCAACTGCTACATCTCGTTTCGAGCAGCTATGCTCTACTTTTAAACACTGCAATACCAGCTGTACCGCACTAAACCTTACAGGAGCTCTTAGAACGTACCATATGAATCACGTCCTGATCTCGACGCGGAGGGCAAAAAAATGACAACATGCTGGACTAGAGTATATCATCATAGCACAGGTGTACCTGCACGTAGTCTTATTCTGTAAGTGGCTCAAAATTCTAGGAAAAAGTGAGGCCTCACGCCCTCAGCTCAAGATGCGTGCCAAGGCCAGTTCTAACTGGGGCCTCAGCTTTTCCAGCATCATCTTGAACCCCGCAGAACACTCCTCTTCACCACCACCGCTTTGCACCACATCAGCTGCCCTGGCTCCCTGCTGCCCCAGCGAATCCTCCCCCTGCTGCTGACTCCCTTCAGGATTGCCCGTGCTTTCTGAAACATTCGTAGTGGTTCCCTTAGCTGCTGCATCCGTACCCTTGGCTGTGCACGCCTTGCTTGCGCTCTTGATCGGGCACACCCTGGCTCCCTTGGAGTACGTGTCGCACAGGGCAATGATGGCTGCTGCATGCTGCTTGAAATGAAGGGCCACTAGAGGCTCGAAATGCTGTGTGCGGGGTGTGGGCAGTGGGGAGTGGGGAGTGAGGCGTGGGGAGAGGGGAGAAGTTGGAGGGACTGAGATTGATCGGGCGCACCATGGCTCCCTTGGAGTAAGTGTCACACAGAGCCACAATGACTGCTGCATGCAGCTTGAAATGTAGGGCCACTAGGGGCTCGAAGTGCTTGTGTGAGGAGAGGGGAGTGGGGGGAAGTGGGGGGAAAAAGTACCGAGATTGATCGGGCACACCACCCTGGCTCCATTGGAATCCGTGTTGCACAGACGTAGGGAATGAAAGGCAACCAGAGGCTCAAAGCCCCGGTGTGAGGGGAGCGGAGCAGCAGGGAGAAGAAGTGAGAGTAAGCATCAACATCGATGCTGCTGCGTGAAATGATGGACCACTAACGGCTGGAGAGGCGAGGAGAGGGGAGAGTGGGGAGGAATGGGAGGAGTGGTGAATGGGGAGGAATGAGGGGAAGAAATTACAGAAGTGAAGAGAAACGCTAGTCAGGAGAGGGAGGAGTGGCAAACGGAACAGGAGGGAGGGTTTGCCCCTCGAAATGCATTGAAACTACCATTTATGTGTGTATGATGTTGTAGAGGCGAGATGGTGATACAAGCAACGTAAGCAGCTTACCTGGGTTTGCTCATCGAAATGCAACGCAATGCATTGAAATGAAACCAAATGCACTGAAATGCATTGAAATGAAACCAAATGCACTGAAATGCATTGAAATGAAACCAAATGCACTGAAATGCATTGAAATGAAACCAAATGCACTGAAATGCATTGAAATGAAACCAAATGCACTGAAATGCACTGAAATGAAACCAAATGCTCAAATGCATTGAAATGAAACAAATGCACTGAAATGCACTAAAATGCACTGAAATGCATTGAAATGAAACCGAATGCACTGAAATGCATTGAAATGAAACCGAATGCACTGAAATGCATTGAAATGAAACCAAATGCACTGAAATGCATTGAAATGAAACCAAATGCACTGAAATGCATTGAAATGAAACCAAATGCACTGAAATGCATTGAAATGAAACCAAATGCACTGAAATGCATTGAAATGAAACCAAATGCACTGAAATGCATTGAAATGAAACCAAATGCACTGAAATGAAACCAAATGCACTGAAATGAAACCAAATGCACTGAAATGCACTGAAATGAAAGCATCATTAACTGGCTCCAAGCTAATGCAAGCCACGCTTGTTGCACATGTAGGGAGGGATTGCAGCAAAAGTGCCACTAAGCATAGCCTCTTAGCTAATGAATTCACTTAAGATCGTACCTTAGGGGGGTAGCGAATGCCGTAGATCATGCTTTTGCACGACAGCAAGGAAGCGCTCTTGTTGTAGAGGTCAGCGTTCCTCTCCCCCTCTGTCCTTCCCCTCTGCTTCAAACCCATGCAAGCATTATGAACTGTACCTTGGGGGGGTTGCGAATGCCGTAGATCATGGTTTTACACGACAGCAGGAAAGCACTCTCGTTGTAGAGGTCAGCGTTCCTCTCCCCCTCTGCTGTTCCCCTCTGCCTCTCGTACCCCGCCTCGTTGAAGTAAGGGCGCGGCACGAGCACTAAGCCCTGGATGGAGACGAGCACCTGAGAGGGGGTGCAGGAGGACAAGGGAATACCGAACACAACGAGGGATCAGCGTTCCTCTCCCCTCCGCTGTGTCCTCTGCCTCTCAAACCTCGCCTCCTTCAAATACCACCGCAGCACGTGCACCAGCCCCTGAATGGATACCAAAACAAAACAAACACTTGGGCAGGGAACGAGGGGAGATATGGAGCAAAACAAACACCGTTCTCTCCCTCCTCTGGCCCCCCCCCTCTGCCATGCCCCTCTGCCTCTCATTCCCTGCCTCATCAATCATGTCACATATTGGGCAGCACCAGATACATCCTGCTTTACACATTACCGTGCATGCACTCATTATTACCACATACTCCCTACTGTTACCAGTTCGTTAGTATCACATACCTGTAGTATCGAGGATCCCATGTGGCAGACCTCCGTGCCCTTGCCACCCCATGTGCTGACCAGAACCGCACACCTTCGCTTTGAATGACCAAGACACTTAGCACGGCATTACCACCCCTTGCTACTGTCACACACACACACCTGTAGTATCGAGGAGCCTGTGTGCCAGACCTCCGTGCCCTTGCCGCCCCACGTGTTGAGACGCGACAGGCACACCTTGCCGTTGTAGCACGGTGTACTCATTAGTAGCACTGATTCATTACTGTCACCAGCTCTCAAGTATCACCCATACCTGTAATATCGAGCAGCCTGTGTGCCAAACCTCCGTGCCCTTGCCTCCCCACGTGTTCAGCAGCGACAGGCACACCTTGCCGTTGTCGTATAGATTAGGGTTCACTCGCAAACCGCCCGAGTGGTAGTGCACAGACTGGGTGTGGGAGAGAGGGGGGGAGAATTGGGGAGAGGGGAGGGAGAGAGAGGAGGAAGAGAGAGGAGGGGGGAGCAGGGTGGGTTGGGACCAGTCTCAGGGCACGTGCCCAGCAGCGACAGGCACACCTTGCCGTTCTCGTATAGATTAGGGTTCCCTCGCAAACCTCCTGAATGGTAGTGCACATACTGGGTCGGGGGGGCGAGAGGAGACGGGAGGAGATGAGAGGGTCAAGAAGCGGCTCACAGCACGTGCTGAGCAGCACGTGTTTCGATTAGGGTTCACCCTCAGGCCTGCTGAGTGCTGGTGCACAGACTGGGAGGGGGGCCGAGAGGAGACGGGAGGAGATGGGAAGAGATGAGAGGAGATGAGAGGAGATGAGAGGAGATGAGAGGAGATGAGAGGAGATGAGAGGAGATGAGAGGAGATGAGAGGGTTTAGAGACAGCATTGAGCAAGTGTTGGGTAGCGACAGGCACACTTGCCACTCTCGCAGAGGTTCGGATTCACTCGTAAACCTCTTGAGTGGTAGTGCACAGACTGACAAGGGGGGGAGGGGGGGGGGTGGGAGGAGAACCAATAAAGGATGGCAGGATGGAGCAGTTGAAAACTGTTGACTGGCATATGACTCACTGGGGGCACAGCAACCATGTGCGGCTGGCTGCATGCCAAAACTCTTTAGCACAAGGCTCACTGGCGGCACAGCAGGGTAGTCCGGGGGCAGCCAGAGGTCGAAGAAGAAGAGCCCGAGGTGGCAGGGGGTGTCCGGCCAGAGTATGGTGTGTCGATCCATTTGCCAATAGGGTGTGGCACTTACAGGAGGCACAGCAGGGTCGTCCGGGGGCAGCCAGAGGTCAAAGAAGAAGAGCCCGAGGTGGTGGGGGGTGCATGTGATGTGGGCGAGGGTACTTTAGCGCGTGGCTTACAGGAGGCACAGCAGGGTAGTCGGGCGGCAGCCAGAGGTCGAAGAAGAAGAGACCTAGGTGGTAGGGGGTGTCTGGCGGTCCGGCGATCGCTACCCTTAGTAGGTCCATGCGGTCCTCATACACGCGCACAGAGATGGAGTCTGGTGGGAGGTGGGAGAGTGGGGTGGGAGAGGACGGGGGGAATGGGTCAACAACAGCCACCCTAGTAGGCCCATGCGGTCCTCCTACATGCGCACATGCGGTCCTCGTACACGCGCACATGCGTTCCTCGTACACGCGCACATGCGGTCCTCGTACACGCGCACATGCGGTCCTCGTACACGCGCACATGCGGTCCTCGTACACGCGCACATGCGGTCCTCGTACACGCGCACATGCGGTCCTCATACACGCGCACATGCGGTCCTCATACACGCACACATGCGGTCCTCATACACGCGCACATGCGGTCCTCCTACACGCGCAAATGCGGTCCTCCTACACGCGCACATGCGGTCCTCGTACACGCGCACATGCGGTCCTCGTACACGCGCACATGCGGTCCTCGTACACGCGCACATGCGGTCCTCGTACACGCGCACATGTGGTCCTCGTACACGCGCACATGCGGTCCTCCTACACGCACACATGCGGTCCTCGAACACGCGCACATGCGGTCCTCGTACACGCGCACATGCGGTCCTCCTACACGCGCACATGCGGTCCTCATACACGCGCACATGCGGTCCTCATACACGCGCACATGCGGTCCTCCTACACGCGCAAATGCGGTCCTCCTACACGCGCACATGCGGTCCTCGTACAGCGCACATGCGGTCCTCGTACACGCGCACATGCGGTCCTCGTACACGCGCACATGCGGTCCTCGTACACGCGCACATGCGGTCCTCGTACACGCGCACATGCGGTCCTCATACACGCGCACATGCGGTCCTCGTACACGCGCACATGCGGTCCTCCTACACGCGCACATGCGGTCCTCGTACACGCGCACATGCGGTCCTCGTGCACGCGCACATGCGGTCCTCGTACACGCGCACATGCAGTCCTCGTACACGCGCACATGCGGTCCTCGTACACGCGCACATGCGGCCCTCCTACACGCGCACATGCGGTCCTCATACACGCGCACATGCGGTCCTCATACACGCGCACATGCGGTCCTCCTACACGCGCAGATGCGGTCCTCCTACACATGAGGTCCATGCGGTCCTCGTACACGGGCGCGCACACTGATGGACTCTGGTGAGGGGGAGGAGGGAAGTAACACAGCGGTTTAGGGTTACCGTGCCTGGTGCTCTCGTGATCGCCGCCATCAATAGGTCCGTGCGATCCTCGTACACACGGATCCTCGTACGCACTGATGAAGTCTGGCGTGTGTAATGAGTCGATTTTTGAGTCGACTCAAAAATCGACTCATTACACACGGATCCTTGTACAAGCGCGCTGATGAAGACTGGCGTGGGGTGCAAGAGAGGTGACTTTTGAGTCGACTCAAGAGTCTGGCGCGGGGTGCAAGAGAGGGGGAATCCACAGGGGTGAATCCGCACAGAGATGGAGTCTGGAGGGGGGATGGACGGGTGTAACACAATGGGTAACGGTTACCGTGTCTGGTTCTCTTGCGGTCGTCACCCAACAGAGGCCCATGCGGCCCTTGTGCGCCTGCACCGCACAGAAATGGCGTCTGGTGGGGGGAGTCTATTTTTGAGGCGCCTCAAAAATAGACTCCTCACGAAATATCGTCTGGTGAGAGGCCAAGGGAAGAAAACAGGAGGTGCGTGAATGGGCTCGTCCGATCCTCCATCAGTGCACAAAAAGAATGGGCTGGATACTCCCTTACCCAGCAGGTTGCTCTGGAGCATCTTCCATACCTGGCAGGTTGGTCTGGAGCATCTCCCAGTCCTTGTGCACGGCCTTGGCCCACTTGCGATTGCCGGGCTGCGAGGGGCAAAGGGAGAAGAGAGGAGGGACGATGCTATTCAGGGAGACAGGATGGCAGGAGACGACGGAATGAGAGACAAGGAAGAGTAACCTCCCAGTCCGTCTGCACTGCCTTGGCCCACTTGCGATTGCCGGGCTGCACGAGAGCAAGGAAAGACGTGACAGGCAGTCAAGCCAAGCCAGTGAGGGACGATGCAGTTAAGGGATATGATTAAAAAAGGACCCTGAGAATTCTCAAAAACAAGAGCATGGCAGGAGGAGAGGGGATGGGCGACCATCACAGGAGAATCTACCACGACTGGTGCACGCACTGCCTTCGCCCACTTGCAACTGCCAGGATGCACAGGGTGTATATTTTAGGCGCCGTAAAATTGGGAGATTATTTTTGAGGCGCCTCAAAAATGCACAGGGTGTATATTTTAGGCGCCGTAAAATTGGGAGATTATTTTTGAGGCGCCTCAAAAATGCACAGGGTGTATATTTTAGGCGCCGTAAAATTGGGAGATGATTACAACAGGAGAATCTCCCAGTCCTTATGCACTGCCGTGGCCCACTTGCGATTGCCGGGATGCACAGCTAGAGTTGGTTTTAGACAGTTCTAAAGAACCAACTAGTCTCCCCGTCCGTGTGCACTGCCTTGGCGCTCTTGCGATTGCCAGCCAAGATGCACAGAAAGAAAGGAGGTGGCAGGCAGTCAAGGCCCAGAGGGAGTCAGGCACAGAGGGAGTAAGGCACAGAGGGAGTAAGGCACAGAGGGAGTCAGGCACAGAGGGAGTCAGGAACAATGGGGGTAAGGCACAACGGACGAAGGCACAGAGGGACGATGCGGTTAACAAAGAGTGCAATATAGGATGCCAGGCAATGAACCATAGCTTGGGTCGGCCCACACGCAATTGGCAGGCTGCAATAGAGCAAAGGAGAGAGGGTGGCACACGAGGGGGCTGCCGCAGGTCAAGGGCGGATATATTTGAATGAGGGGGCTGCCGCAGGTCATGGGCGGATATATTTGAATGAGGGGGCTGCCGCAGGTCATGGGCGGATATATTTTTGAAGCGCCAAAAAGAAGGGTCACTCGGCAGAGTTCACGGGGGCACGTGACGTGGTGGCGCACTTGCAACCAACACTGGCGAACGCCGAAGGGGAGCGCACCACCATTTCCCCGCGCCCCACCGCAGGCTTTTCCCTGCGCCCCCCCGCGGGCTTCGCCCCGCGCCCCCCCGCGGGATTTTTCCCGTGGCCCCCAGCGGGCTTTTCCCTGCGGCCCCCTGTGGGCTATTCACCGCACCCCCCGCGGCCCTTTACCCGCGCCCCCCCGCGGCCTTTCCCCCGCGCCCCCCCCCGTGGGCTTTTCCCCACGCCCCCCCGCGGCCTTTTACCCGTGCCCCACCCGCGGCCTGAGGGAGCGCAGGCTCCCTGAAAGAAGTAGGTTGGTCCGTTGCTGTACCCCCAGTGTACTTTGAGTTAATATCTAATGCGAAGGGCAGTTCTAGAAATGATCGCATGCATGGGTCACTTCTTGACCGCCCCCAGCAGTACCTACCAACCGCCCCCAGCAGTACTTAGGACCACCAACTTGACACAATACCATCACCAGCAGCACCAGCACGATGAGCCTGGCCTACCTTGACGGCCCAACGCATCTGTCACACTAATGCCGCCAAGCATCCCCACTCCCTGACCCATTACCAGCACCAACCCACTGAGCAACACCAGCAGCACCAGCAGCACCACCGCCCACCACAGCACCACAGCACCACCAGCCGAGCACCGCCACACACCACGAGCACACGAGCACGAGCACCGAGCACGAGCAACATGAGCACGAGCAACCACGAGCACGAGCAACCACGAGCACCAACCACGAGCACAAGCAACCACGAGCACGAGCAACCACGAGCACGAGCAACCACGAGCACGAGCAACCACGAGCACGAGCAACCACGAGCACGAGCAACCACGAGCACGAGCAACCACGAGCACGAGCAACCACGAGCACGAGCAACCACGAGCACAAGCAACCACGAGCACAAGCAACCACGAGCACGAGCAACCACGAGCACGAGCAACCACGAGCACGAGCAACCATGAGCACGAGCAACCACGAGCACGAGCAACCACGAGCACGACAACCACGAGCACGAGCAACCACGAGCACGAGCAACCATGAGCACAGCAACCACGACACAAGCAACCACGAGCACGAGCAACCACGAGCACGAGCAACCACGAGCACGAGCAACCACGAGCACGAGCAACCACAGCACGAGCAACCACGAGCACGACAACCACGAGCACAAGCAACCACGAGCACGAGCAACCACGAGCACGAGCAACCACGAGCACGAGCAACACGAGCACGAGCAACCACGAGCACGAGCAACCACGAGCACGAGCAACCACGAGCAAGCCAACCACCGAGCAAGCAACCACGAGCACGAGAAGCAACCACGAGGCACGAGCACCACGAGCACGAGCAACCACGAGCACGAGCAACCACGAGCACGAGCAACACGAGCACGGCAACCACGAGCACGACCACGAGCACGAGCAACCACGAGCACGAGCAACCACGAGCACGAGCAACCACGAGCACGAGCAACCACGAGCGAGCAACCACGAGCACGAGCAACCACGAGCACGAGCAACCACGAGCACGAGCAACCACGAGCAAACGAGCAAACCACGAGCAACGAGCAACCACGAGCACAAGCAACCACGAGCACAAGCAACCACGAGCACGAGCAACCACGAGCACGAGCAACCACGAGCACGAGCAACCACGAGCACGAGCAACCACGAGCACGAGCAACCACGAGCACGAGCAACCACGAGCACGAGCAACCACGAGCACAAGCAACCACGAGCACAAGCAACCACGAGCACGAGCAACCACGAGCACGAGCAACCACGAGCACGAGCAACCACGAGCACGAGCAACACGAGCACGAGCAACCACGAGCACGAGCAACCACGAGCACAAGCAACCACGAGCACAAGCAACCACGAGCACGAGCAACCACGAGCACGAGCAACCACGAGCACGAGCAACCACGAGCACGAGCAACCACGAGCACGAGCAACCACGAGCACGAGCAACCACGAGCACGAGCAACCACGAAGCACGAGCAACCACGAGCACAAGCAACCACGAGCACAAGCAACCACGAGCACGAGCAACCACGAGCACGAGCAACCACGAGCACGAGCAACCACGAGCACGAGCAGCCACGAGCACGAGCAACCACGAGCACGAGCACCACGAGCAAACAACCACGAGCAACGAGCAACACGAGCACAAGCAACACGAGCACAAGCAACCACGAGCACGAGCAACCACGAGCACGAGCAACCACGAGCACGAGCAACCACGAGCACGAGCAACCACGAGCACGAGAACCACGAGCACGAGCAACCACGAGCACGAGCAACCACGAGCACGAGCAACCACGAGCACGAGCAACCACGAGCACAAGCAACCACGAGCACGAGCAACCACGAGCACGAGCAACCACGAGCACGACACCACGAGCACGAGCAACCACGAGCACGAGCACCACGAGCACAAGAACACGAGCACGAGCAACCACGAGCACGAGCAAACGAGCACGAGCAACCCGAGCACGAGCAACAACGAGCACGAGCAACCACGAGCACGAGCAACCCGAGCACGAGCAACACGAGCACGAGCAACCACGAGCACGAGCAACCACGAGCACAAGCAACCACGAGCACAAGCAACCACGAGCACGAGCAACCAACGAGCACGAGCAACCACGAGCACGAGCAACCACGAGCACGAGCAACCACGAGCACGAGCAACCACGAGCACGAGCAACCACGCACGAGCAACCACGAGCACAAGCAACCACGAGCACGAGCAACCACGAGCAGAGCAACCGACACGAGCAACCACGAGCACGAGCAACCACGAGCACGAGCAACCACGAGCACGAGCAACCACGAGCACAAGCAACCACGAGCACGAGCAACCACGAGCACGAGCAAACACGAGCACGAGCAACCACGAGCACAAGCAACCACGAGCACGAGCAACCACGAGCACGAGCAACCACGAGCACGAGCAACCACGAGCACGAGCAACCACGAGCACGAGCAACCACGAGCACAAGCAACCACGAGCACGAGCAACCACGAGCACGAGCAACCACGAGCACGAGCAACCACGAGCGAGCAACCACGAGCAGGAGCAACCACGAGCAGGAGCAACCACGAGCACAAGCAACCACGAGACCGAGCAACCACGAGCACGAGCAACCACGAGCACGAGCAACCACGAGCACGAGCAACCGAGCACGAGCAACCACGAGCAAGACCACGAGCACGAGCAACCACGAGCACGAGCAACCACGAGCACGAGCAACCACGAGCACGAGGCAACCACGAGCACGAGCAACCCGAGCCAAGCACAAGCAACACGAGCACGAGCAACCACGAGCACGAGCAACCACGAGCACGAGCAACCACGAGCACGAGCAACCACGAGCACGAGCAACCACGAGCACGCAACCACGAGCACAAGCAACCACGAGCACGAGCAACCACGAGCACAAGCAACCACGAGCACGAGCAACCACGAGCACGAGCAACCACGAGCACGAGCAACCACGAGCACAGCAACCACGAGCACGAGCAACCACGAGCACGAGCAACCACGAGCCAAGCAACCACGAGCACGAGCAACCACGAGCACGAGCAACCACGAGCACGAGCAACCACGAGCACAAGCAACCACGAAGCAGAGCAACCACGAGCACGAGCAACCACGAGCACGAGCAACCACGAGCACGAGCAACCACGAGCACGAGCAACCACGAGCACAAGCAACCACGAGCACGAGCACCACGAGCACGAGCAACCACGAGCACGAGCAACCACGAGCACGAGCAACCACGAGCGAGCAACCACGAGCACGAGCAACACGAGCACGAGCAACCACGAGCACGAGCAACCACGAGCACGAGCAACCACGAGCACGAGCAACCACGAGCACGAGCAACCACGAGCACGAGCAACCACGAGCACAAGCAACCACGAGCACGAGCAACCACGAGCACGAGCAACCACGAGCACGAGCAACCACGAGCGAGCAACCACGAACGAGAACCACGAGCACAAGCAACCACGAGCACAAGCAACCACGAGCACGAGCAACCACGAGCACGAGCAACCACGAGCACGAGCAACCACGAGCACGAGCAACCACGAGCACGAGCAACCACGAGCACGAGCAACCACGAGCACAGCAACCACGAGCACGAGCAACCACGAGCACGGCACCACGAGCACGAGCAACCACGAGCACGAGCAACCACGAGCACGAGCAACCACGAGCACGAGCAACCACGAGCACAAGCAACCACGAGCACGCAACCACGAGCACGAGCAACCACGAGCACGAGCAACCACGAGCACGAGCAACCACGAGCACGAGCAACCACGAGCACGAGCAACCACGAGCACGAGCAACCACGAGCACAAGCAACCACGAGCACGAGCAACCACGAGCACGAACCACGAGCACGAGCAACCACGAGCAAGCAACCACGAGCACGAGCAACCACGAGCACGAGCAACCACGAGCACGAGCAACCACGAGCACGAGCACCACGAGCACGAGCAACCACGAGCACGAGCAACCACGAGCACGAGCAACCACGAGCACGAGCAACCACGAGCACGAGCAACCACGAGCACGAGCAACCACGAGCACGAAGCACGAGCACGAGCAACCACGAGCACGAGCAACCACGAGCACGAGCAACCACGAGCACGAGCAACCACGAGCACGAGCAACCACGAGCACGAGCAACCACGAGCACGAGCAACCACGAGCACGAGCAACCACGAGCACGAGCAACCACGAGCACGAGCAACCACGAGCACGAGCAACCACGAGCACGAGCAACCACGAGCACGAGCAACCACGAGCACGAGCAACCACGAGCACGAGCAACCACGAGCACGAGCAACCACGAGCACGAGCAACCACGAGCACGAGCAACACGAGCACGAGCAACACGAGCACGAGCAACCACGAGCACGAGCAACCACGAGCACGAGCAACCACGAGCACGAGCAACCACGAGCACGAGCAACCACGAGCACGAGCAACCACGAGCACGAGCAACCACGAGCACGAGCAACCACGAGCACGAGCAACCACGAGCACGAGCAACCACGAGCACGAGCAACCACGAGCACGAGCAACCACGAGCACGAGCAACCACGAGCACGAGCAACCACGAGCACGAGCAACCACGAGCACGAGCAACCACGAGCACGAGCAACCACGACACGAGCAACCACGAGCACGAGCAACCACGAGCACGAGCAACCACGAGCACGAGCAACCACGAGCACGAGCAACCACGAGCACGAGCAACCACGAGCACGAGCAACCACGAGCACGAGCAACCACGAGCACGAGCAACCACGAGCACGAGCAACCACGAGCACGAGCAACCACGAGCACGAGCAACCACGAGCACGAGCAACCACGAGCACGAGCAACCACGAGCACGGCAACCACGAGCACGAGCAACCACGAGCACAAGCAACCACGAGCACGAGCAACCACGAGCACGAAGCAACCACGAGCACGAGCAACCACGAGCACGAGCAACCACGAGCACGAGCAACACGAGCACGAGCAACCACGAGCACGAGCAACCACGAGCACGAGCAACCACGAGCACGAGCAACCACGAGCACGAGCAACCACGAGCACGAGCAACCACGAGCACGAGCAACCACGAGCACCACGAGCACGAGCAACCACGAGCACGAGCCACGCACAGCCACGAGCACGAGCAACCACGAGCACGAGCAACCACGAGCACGAGCAACCACGAGCACGAGCAACCACGAGCACGAGCAACCACGAGCACAAGCAACCACGAGCACGAGCAACCACGAGCACGAGCAACCACGAGCACAAGCAACCACGAGCACGAGCAACCACGAGCACGAGCAACCACGAGCACGAGCAACCACGAGCACGAGCACCACGAGCACGAGCAACCACGAGCACGAGCAACCACGAGCAAGCAACCACGAGCACGAGCAACCAACCACGAGCACGAGCAACACGAGCACGAGCAACCACGAGCACGAGCAACCACGAGCCAAAGAACCACGAGCACGAGCAACCACGAGCACGAGCAACCACGAGCACGAGCAACCACGAGCACGAGCAACCAACGAGCACGAGCAACCACGAGCACAAGCAACCACACACGAGACCACGAGCACGAGCAACCACGGAGCACGAGCAACCACGAGCACGAGCAAACCACGAGCCACGAGCCAACCACGAGCACGAGCAACCAACGAGCACGAGCAACCACGAGCACGAGCAACCACGAGCACGAGCAACCACGAGCACGAGCAACCACGAGCACGAGCAACCACGAGCACGAGCAACCCACGAGCACGAGCAACCACGAGCACAGAGCAACCACGAGCACGAGCAACCACGAGCACGAGCAACCACGAGCACGAGCAACCACGAGCACGAGCAACCACCGAGCACCGAGCAAACACACGAGCACAGCAACCACCCGAGCACAAAGCAACCACGAGCACGAGCAACCACGAGCACGAGCAACCACGAGCACGAGCAACCACGAGCACGAGCAACCACGAGCACGAGCAACCACGAGCACGAAGCAACCACGAGCACGAGCAACACGGCACAAGCAACCACGAGCACGAGCAAACCACGAGCACGAGGCAAGCACCAACGAGCACACGGAAGCAACCACGAGCACGAGCAACCACGAGCACGAGGCAACCACGGAGCACGAGGCAACCACGAGCACGAGCAACCACGAGCACGAGCAACCACGAGCACAAGCAACCACGAGCCACGAGCAACCACGAGCACGAGCAACCACGAGCACGGAGCAACCACGACACAGCAACCACGAGCACGAGCAACCACGAGCACGAGCCAACCACGGCGAGCACGACCGAGCAACCACGGGAAGCACAAGCAACCACGAGCACGAGCAACCAACAGAGCAACCACGAGCACGAAGCAACCACGAGCACGAGCAACCACGAGCACGAGCAACCACGAGCACGAGCAACCACGAGCACAAGCAACCACGAGCACGAGCAACCACGAGCACAAGCAACCACGAGCACGAGCAACCACGGAGCACGAGCAACCACGGAAAGCAACCACGAGCACAAGAACACAGCACGAGCAACACCACGAGCAACCACGAGCCATTCCTGAAACGTCTGAGACGCGACGTGATGGTCCAAAGCATCCGTCACGCTGTCAAACCCACCAGCAGCCCATCGTCACCGGTGTCAACACACCAGCCGCAGCCCACCAGCACCTGACACGACAACACACCAGCCCGCAGCCCGACACCACCGTGTCAACACACCAGCAGCAGCCCGACACCACCGTGTCAACATACCTGGAATGTCTGAGACGCGAAGTGATGGTCCGAAGCATCAGTCACGCTGTCAAACTGCCGCCACGCATCCTTGCTCCCTGCACCTGCCCCTTCCGCTGCCCCTGCCGCTGCTGCTGTTCCTTCCCTTTCCCCTTCCCCTTCCCCTTCCCCTTCCCCTGTCTCTCTCCCTGCATCTGCCCCTTCTGGTGTGCCCTCTCCCCGTATCTCTTTCCCTGTCCCTTCCCCTTCCCCCGTCCCTTCCCCTGCCGCGGTCCCAGGCTCATTCTTTCCCATCTGCTGCGTTTCATCCTCCGCTCCACCCCCACCCTCCCCCTCTGCCCCACCCTTTGCCCCTTCCTTGGTCTCACCCCCACCTTCCCCCTCTGCCCTCGCACCTTCTGCCGCCTCCTCTCTCGCTCCGTCGTCCACCTCTTCCAACCTTTCACCCGTCCCTTCCTGCCTCCTCTCGCTCGCTGGTCTCTCCCCCACCTCCTTCCTTCCTTCCCTTGCCTCCCCTTTCTCTCCCTCTCCCCCTCCTCTTCTTCCCTCCAACAGCAAAGCCAGCCCAATTCCCGCAGAGCTCCCATCACCACGCACCCCTGACTCCCCTTCCACCCTAGACCCCTCCGAGTGAATCTCCTGTCCACTCGCTGATGTTGACCCTTCCCCAATGACCGCTCCTTGACGATTCCCCCCCCCCTGCACCTGACGCACTTGAGATTGAGGCCGCTCTAGCGCCCCTCCCCAGGCCCACACCGGCGCCCAAACCCAAGGGTTCGTCCAGGGGATTCTCTAATCCTCGCTTCTGCGCCTGTTCTAGCCCTAATGTACTCTCTCCCGCGCTACCTCCCTCACTTGCACCCCTCTCCCCTCTCCTCCCTCCCTCCCGCCCCCCTCCCCCTTGGGAACGAATTTCTGCAGCACAGTCATCATTGCTGTCAGCCCTGCGGCCAATCGCGGAATGACACCTGGTCCCGCCCCAGAACTGCTCCCGCCTGCCCAGTTTCCCCCTCCCCCAACCCTCCCCCCGCTTTCCTCCTCCTCCCCCTTCTCCGTCTCCCACCACTGCCACTTCCCTCCTCTCCCTCCCCGTCCCTCTCCCCTTCCTCTTCCTCTTCCTCTCCCCCTTCCCCTTCTCCCCCCGGTCTCCCCCCACCTCTTCCCCCCCTCCTCCCCCCTGCGCCCCGCCCTCCCCCACCAATTCCTCCCCCTGCTGAACGCATCTAGTTCACTCTGTACGTTTCGCAGTGCTTGCCAACTAGCCGTCACCTCATCCCCTACCCTGCTGCCCCTGCTGCTGCTCCTCCCCCCCTTACTCCACCCCCTCCTGCTGCTGCTGCTGCTGCCGCTGCCCCAAACGCTCCCCTTCGTCCTGTTAGTCCAGCTGCCCCCTCCTCCCCCTCTACCTCCTCCTCCTCCTCGTCTGCTGTCTCCCACCCGTCCTCGTCCTCATCCTCGATATAAGCATCCTCGTCTTCCGAACCCTCGTCCCCCTCATAAATATCCTCCTCATCATCCCTATTCACCACATTATACAACTGTAGGGGGAACCTGGAGTGGGGATGGATACACAAAAACACCGTTTGAGTAAACCTTTTGACTCCTCGTGCCCCTCATACACGACCTCCTCCTTGTCCCGATTCACAAACAGACCACTGTCGGGGGAACCTGGAGCGAAGAAGAACGACATGATTCATTAGATTGTATTGAGTCGAATGAAAATGTAGACATTGGCAACTGTAGGGGGAACCTGGCGCAGGGATTGCGAATAGCAAAGAGGGAGGGATATGGTGAGTTTTGAGTCAGAGAGGGAAATGATGCGAATAGATGTACAGAGGGAGGGGACTTTGAGTTGACTCAGAGGGGGATATGATGAGTTTTGAGTTGACTCAAGGAGGGGATATGATGGAGTTTTGAGTTGACTCAAGAGAGGGATATGATTGAGTTTTGAGTTGACTCAAGAGGGGATATGATGAGTTTTGAGTCGACTCAGAGGGGAGGGGATCTGATGATGTTTGAGTTGACTCAAGAGGGGATATGATGAGTTTTGAGTGTCAAGAGGGATATGATGGTTTTGGTCGACTCAAGAGGTATGATGAGTTTTGAGTTGACTCAAGAGGGGGATATGATGAGGGGTGATGAGTTTGAGTTGACTCAAGAGGGGATTATGATGAGTTTTGAGTTGACTCAAGAGGGGATATGATGAGTTTGAGTGACTCAGAGGGGATATGATGAGTTTTGAGTTGACTCAAGAGGGGATATGATGAGTTTGGTGACTCAAGAGGGGTATGATGGTTTTGAGTTGACTCAAAGAGGGGATATGATGAGTTTTGAGTCGACTCAAGGAGGGGATATGATGAGTTTTGAGTTGACTCAAGAGGGATATGATGAGTTTTGAGTTGACTCAAGAGGGGATATGATGGTTTTGAGTTGACTCAAGAGGGATATGATGAGTTTTGATGACTCAAGGGGATATGATATCGACTCAAGAGGGGATATGATGAGTTTTGGAAGTCTGACTCAAGAGGGGATAGATGGGAGTGGAGGGTATGTGGTTGAGTCGACTCAAGAGGGGATATGATGAGTTATAGATGAGAGTTGACTCAAGAGGGGATATGATGAGTTTTGAGTTGACTCAAGAGGGGATTATGATGAGTTTTGAGTTCGAATATGATGAGTTTGAGTCGACTCAAGAGGGGATATGTGATGAGTGGATATGTGAGTTGGACTCAAGAGGGGATATGATGAGTTTTGAGTTGACTCAAGAGGGGATATGATGAGTTTTGAGTTGACTCAAGAGGGGATATGATGGAGTTATTGAGTTGACTCAAGAGGGGATATGATGAGTTTTGAGTCGACTCAAGAGGGGATATGATGAGTTTTGAGTTGACTCAAGAGGGGATATGATGAGTTTTGAGTTGACTCAAGAGGGGATATGATGAGTTTTGAGTTGACTCAAGAGGGGATATGATGAGTTTTGAGTTGACTCAAGAGGGGATATGATGAGTTTTGAGTTGACTCAAGAGGGGATATGATGAGTTTTGAGTTGACTCAAGAGGGGATATGATGAGTTTTGAGTTGACTCAAGAGGGGATATGATGAGTTTTGAGTCGACTCAAGAGGGGATATGATGAGTTTTGAGTCGACTCAAGAGGGGATATGATGAGTTTTGAGTTGACTCAAGAGGGGATATGATGAGTTTTGAGTTGACTCAAGAGATATGATGAGTTTTGAGTCGACTCAAGAGGGGATATGATGAGTTTTGAGTGACTCAAGAGGGGATATGATGAGTTTTGAGTCGACTCAAGAGGGGATATGATGAGTTTTTGAGTTGACTCAAGAGGGGATATGATGAGTTATGAGTTGACTCAAGAGGGGATATGATGAGTTTTGGAGTCGACTCAAGAGGGGATATGATGAGTTTTGAGTTGACTCAAGAGGGGATATGATGAGTTTTGAGTTGACTCAAGAGGGGATATGATGAGTTTTGAGTTGACTCAAGAGGGGATATGATGAGTTTTGAGTCGACTCAAGAGGGGATATGATGAGTTTTTGAGTTGACTCAAGAGGGATATGATGAGTTTTGAGTCGACTCAAGAGGGGATATGATGAGTTTTGAGTTGACTCAAGAGGGGATATGATGAGTTTTTGAGTTGACTCAAGAGGGGATATGATGAGTTTTGAGTTGACTCAAGAGGGGATATGATGAGTTTTGAGTTGACTCAAGAGGGGATATGATGAGTTTTGAGTTGACTCAAGAGGGGATATGATGAGTTTTGAGTTGACTCAAGAGGGGATATGATGAGTTTTGAGTTGACTCAAGAGGGGATATGATGAGTTTTGAGTTGACTCAAGAGGGGATATGATGAGTTATGAGTTGACTCAAGAGGGGATATGATGAGTTTTGAGTTGACTCAAGAGGGGATATGATGAGTTTTGAGTCGACTCAAGAGGGGATATGATGAGTTTTGAGTTGACTCAAGAGGGGATATGATGAGTTTTGAGTTGACTCAAGAGGGGATATGATGAGTTTTGAGTCGACTCAAGAGGGGATATGATGAGTTTTGAGTCGACTCAAGAGGGGATATGATGAGTTTTGAGTCGACTCAAGAGGGGATATGATGAGTTTTGAGTTGACTCAAGAGGGGATATGATGAGTTTTGAGTTGACTCAAGAGGGGATATGATGAGTTTTGAGTCGACTCAAGAGGGGATATGATGAGTTTTGAGTTGACTCAAGAGGGGATATGATGAGTTTTGAGTTGACTCAAGAGGGGATATGATGAGTTTTGAGTTGACTCAAGAGGGGATATGATGAGTTTTGAGTCGACTCAAGAGGGGATATGATGAGTTTTGAGTTGACTCAAGAGGGGATATGATGAGTTTTGAGTTGACTCAAGAGGGGATATGATGAGTTTTGAGTCGACTCAAGAGGGGATATGATGAGTTTTGAGTTGACTCAAGAGGGGATATGATGAGTTTTGAGTTGACTCAAGAGGGGATATGATGAGTTTTGAGTTGACTCAAGAGGGGATATGATGAGTTTTGAGTTGACTCAAGAGGGGATATGATGAGTTTTGAGTCGACTCAAGAGGGGATATGATGAGTTTTGAGTTGACTCAAGAGGGGATATGATGAGTTTTGAGTCGACTCAAAACGCGCACCTGGGAGATGCAGCAGGGTGTTTTTGAGAATTCTAAAAAGCATAACGACCCATGCAACAGTGAGCAGGCAGGCGACAGCGCATGGCAGCAACCTCCCCCCCCATGCGCTGGCAGCGCATGGCAGCAACCTCCCCCGCCCACGATGGTGCGTGCCATGGGCGTGCGCCATGAGCAGTCGCCATGAGCAGGTGCGTGCCCTCCAGCAACCAGCAGCTGTCACCCCGATAACCTCCCCCCCCCATGACGCACACACACTGCCCTTCCCCAGCATCACAGCAGCAGAGTCACACACACACTGCCAGGCACGCACCTCGGAAACAGAGCCATCAGCCCATGCGACAGTGAGGAGACCACGGCGCATGGCGATAACCTCACCCACCCATGACGCATCCACTCTCTCTCCACACCCATCCGCATCACTCTCCTCCTCTCCCTCCTCCTCTCCCTCCTCTCCCTCCTCCTCTTCTTCCCCGTCGACTTCTTCCTCCTCCTTCTCGTTCTCCTCCGCTTTCTCCTCTTTCTCCTCCGCTTTCTCATCATCCTCCACTTCATCCTCCTCCCCTCCTCCCTCCTCCCCTTCCCCTGCACCACCCTCCCCCCTTTGCCCTTCTCCTTCCCACCATCCTCCCTGCCTTCCTCCCTCTTATCCTCTCCCCTCTCATCCACCTTTCCCCCTCCTGCTCCCTCAGCCCCCTCCCTGATTCCAACCGAATAACCACGTCCCCCAGCCTGAAGTTCCAGTCGGGGTGCTCTGCCAGCTCGTACACCGCAGCCAACTCCTCACAAAACTCCACCACCCCCTCCCACCCCCCCACACCTCCTCCCTCCCTTTTCACTCCACCTCCTCCTCCTCCCGCTTGCGCCCCCTCGTCTTTCTCCTCCCCCTCCCTCTCCATCCCTCCTTCCCTTCTTTTCTCTGCCCCCCCAAACCCCTCCAACTCCCCTGCCCTTCCCGCCACGCCTTCCTTCCCTCGCTTCTCAACACCCCTAGCCCATGCGACTATGGCCGTCCGCTGCTTGTGGTCTACCGTTTTCACGTACCCCACTCGCCCCCACGGCCCTCCCATCAGAACGGAGAGAGGGGCGGGAGCCACTGGGACGGCAGACGCAGGGACGGCATCTGCTGCTGCTACTGCAGTAACAGAGCTGCTTTCCCCCGATTCGACCCCCTTCCCTCCCCCTGCTTCTGCATGTGCTGCCGGTTTCTTTTGAGTCGACTCAAGAGTCACGTCGTTTTGAGTCGACTCAAGAGTCACCTCGTTTTGAGTCGACTCAAAAGGTTTCCCATGTTCACTCAAATCCCCAGCTGGGCCGAACCTCGCCACTTCTGCTGATTCGCCTGATTCGACTGATCCGGCTGCTGCTAATTCTGCTGATTCAACAGCTGCTGATTCGGCGACTGCTGATTCGCCAGCTGCTGCTGATAGTTCTTCTGCTGCTACGGCTGCTGCTGCTGCTGCTGTGCCAGCAGCACCAGCGTCTGCACCTGTAATGGCCGGCACATCTGCAGCCGCATTTGCAGATCTACTGACAGCGACAGGCGAAACGGCGTCAGCAGCAGACGTCAAGAGAGCAACCAGATCCGCTGCAGCACCAGCCATTCCCTTCTCCCCACCACCTCCCCTCCCTCTCCCTTCCGCATCGGCAGCATCTGTACCAGCAACCACAGACGTGGCGGCAGCGTCAGCAGCAGTGGCGGCAACGTCAGCAGCAGCGTCAGCAGCAGCGTCAGCAGCGGAAGTCAAGAGAGTGACCAGATCCGCTGCAGCACCAGCCATTCCCTTCTCCCCACCTCCCCTCCCTCTCCCATCCCCAACCCCCAACCCTCCTTCCCCTCCTGCTCCCCCTCCCACTCCACTCCCCATCCCCACCCCCATCCCCACCCCCATCCCCACCCCCATTCCCAACTCGTCCTCCCCATGTTTCTCAACCACATAATCCTCCGGCCAAAAGTCGTGTTCACCCAGATTTTCCACGGGTATTAACTCGCACGCATCTATACCCCGCTCCTCCCTCCCGTCCTGCCACGTCACGCCCACGTGGGTCGCCGTCCGCACCACCATAGGGGACCGCTCCACGCCCTTGGGGGTTTTAGGCGGGTTTTTCTTCTTTGAATGCGTTTTTTTGCCCCTGCCGCCTCGACGCCAAAAGAAATGACCGCTGCTCCTGCTGCTGCTAGTAACAGCGGCGGCGGTACTTGCAGTGTTGCTGCCAGTGGCGTTGCTGGTGGTGGCGCTAGTGGCGACAGTGCTGCTGGTTGTGACAGAGCTAGTATTACTGCCAGAACCAATAAGCGGGTCCGTCTCTTCCGCTTCACCTGCCTCCGCCTCCTCTCCCCCCTTCCCCTCCCTCCCCCCACCCTCTTCCCTCGCTTCCCCCTCTCCTGTCCCCCCCTCCTCCCTTGCTCCCACCCCTCCCCCTATCCCCTCCGCCTCCTTCCCCTCTATGAGCCGCAAGCAGTGGTCCCCCACCTGCCAGTTGGCGTAGTTAAAGTGCACCAGCGGGCGCACCGCCGCCGCGCTTACCTCGTCCGGCGGAGGCCCCTTAGCCCCCTTCCCCGCGCCCTTCTCCCCTTTCCTCGCGCCTTTCCTCCTTCCGCCGCTGCCGGTGTTGCTGCTCCCCCCGTCAACATCCGCGCCACTCTCTTCCCCGTCAACTGCGCCCCCATCCCCATCCCCATCCCCACCACCACCGCCGCCGCCGCCGCCGCCGCCGCCAGCGCCGCCGCTTCCGCCGCTGCTGAGCTGTCTCCCCATGACCCATTGCACGAGCGCCGTTCCGGGCTCCACGACTGCTACAGTGGCCTCCGCGCGCGACTGCTTCCACGTGCCCTTCAGCCATTGGGCGCGGCGGAAGATGCCCGGAAAAGTTGCGCGCACGCGCTGCCCGGGCCAGAAAAGAATGCTCTCCTCGTCGTCCGTCGCGGACGGTCTGACCGGGAACAAATCGTCGGGGCTGACTTTGGTAACCCGACATTTCGCCCCGTCGTCGAAAACGAGAACGAGGTTATCGAGAATGTCGTCAACCCTCCCCACCCAGTCGCGGTAAACGACAAATCCTCCGGGTTTCACGGATCGGATCGGAACCAACCGCCGGGAATCCACATCTCTCACGATCTCCCCCGACGCGAGCTCGACGTCCAATAGGAGATCGACAGCTGTCACGGTTCCGGTCTGCCCTAGCGGATCGTCTGCACGCGCCACGATATCTCCGTGTAAGAAACAACGGTCTATGATTCTAAGATCCTCTATTTTCTCCTCCGTGGGTTCCTCCGACCCCAGCCAGCAAACCCTAGCGTAGCCGTCTTCTAACGAATCCTCGTCATCCTCGTCCTCGTCATCGTCGTCGCTGTCCACGCGGCCTGCCACGTCAGCAACGAGCCCGGTCCTAGCGGAATCCGTCGTGCTGGTTACCAGATCTTCCACGTAGAGCCGCATCGTCTGTGGCTCGCCTATTTCCTCCTCCTCCTCACCGTCTTCTCGTCCGTCAACGTCTACCTCCTCTCCGTCAACGTCTGCCTCCGCTCCGTCAACGTCTACCTCCTCTCCGTCAACGTCCTCTTCCCCCCCCGTCTCTCCCCCGTCCGTCGCGTCCTCTTCCTCCTCCCCTGCGACTGCTCCCCGCTCCCCCGGCACTCGCGCTGGCCGGTGGTCTGACTCATCCCGATCCCTCAGCCCGTCTAACCCCATCGACGCACGCGATTCGTTGCCCCTAGCTGATTCAATCCCAGGTGTCCCCTGGCTGGTCAGATCCCGGCTGGTTAGATCCTGGCTGTTCCCTAGATGAACCAAACACAGCTGTCCCCTAGCTGAACAGAATCTCACGTGTCCTTTAGCTGATGCGATTCCAGGTGTGTTCCCCGGCTGGTTGCGCAGGATTCGTTGTAAGACGTCTCAAAACAAGCTATGGTTTCCCCCGGCTGGTTGCGGAAAATCTGCAAGACGTGGCACTGCCACGACCACGAGTGCCGCTGCCTCGACAGCAAATCGCTTCTGAAATGGGATGACGTAGAAGCGCGAGGCGAAGGGATGCACGGGGACTACGCCTCTGCCTGCCCGCCTTCGATCTTTCGCGCGGCGATGCCTGTCACGGAGAGCGGATAGACGAAGCAGAGGAGAAGAGCGGAGTGGATGATCCCAAGAAGCATGAGGATGGCCCCAAGCATGCTCTTAGCGCGGACTGGATGAATCTTGTAGAAAAGGGGCCGAAGGTTGGTCCAGAAGGGTCCTTCTATTCGTGCTGAGCATTTTGGCCAACAAAAAAATATTGTAAGGATATTTACAACGAACTAAAAGGAATCCATTCTAAAGAAATAGTTTACAACATATTCCATGCCTCACTACCTATAGCGAGCTCCGGCTCACTATTCAGCCCTGGAAGCAACATTTCCAAGTGCTCCAGCCCCAACCCCCAGACCTCTTCGTCCTCCAGCTGAAAACCAACTATGTCAGAATCCAACGAGACAAGCTGAGCCCCACTCTGCCCAGATGAGGTATTGCTCTCTGGACTCACGTCTCCAGCAGTCCTGCCCTCTCCAGCAACCTTGCTGCGGCTGCCCAGCCCATGTGAAAGCTGATTCTTTTCTGCCTCACCTCCCCACACGCACACGCGCTTCGTGGCGGGGTTGCTATCAGCATCACCACAGAAGGCCAAGTAGCCTCCGCCACACACCTCCTCGCAGCGCACCCTTTTCCCTTGGATCAATCCAACCTGCTCACTCGCTCCTTGAGCCACCGGGACAGCCAGGGACCCGCTCACAGGTGCCAGTGGAGCGATCGACCCTTTGCTTTTCACGGGTACTGAGCGCATTGTGGCAGGGGCGGACGCAGCATCGCAACGACCCTGCGCTGTCATGCAGAGTCTCGACAGCCTCATGTATTGCTCCAGGAGGATCTGCTGGGTCTCGCTAAGCGCTGGGGGCGAGCTCGCCGGTGTAAGCGAGGCCGGTGGGTGCACAGGCGATGGGAACGAGGTGGATGGGAGTGTTGCTGGTGGTGGGTGCGCGAATGTTGGACACGGGGGCAGCTGACAGCCGTTGCTCAATGCAGCAGCTGGAGGCAGGCTGAATGGCGGCAGCGCCTGCATCGTTTCCAGCAATGCTGTCACCCGCGTCTTCTGGGTTGACGCAGCTGCAGCAGCAGCAGCAGCCATGGGAGCCGTCCCAGGGAGCTTCGCCAAAGGCGCTTGGAGAGCGGGAAGCAGGCCGACGGGAAGTGGGGAGTGCGGGGGCGCTGACAGTCCCGTTGCAATCCGAGTCGCTTGTCCTGAGAGTGACAGCTCAGGTGCCAGGCGCTGCTGCTGCTGCTGCTGCTGCTTCAACGAGTGATGTTGCTGCTCGCCGCGCCACCACTGGTCTGCTCCTTGCGCTCGCTGCAGCTGATACTGCTGCTGCTGCTGCTGCTGCTGCTGGCGTAGGTAGAAGGGGAACAGCACGTGCTCCTGGAAGGCGGAAAGGGCGGTCTTCTCACAAGCAGCCCCGTCGGTACCATCCAAACTCGCCAAGGGAAATCCGTGGAGCGATGAACCCATCAAATCCATCGAACCCATCGGATTGCGGGCCTGGAGGCGCGGTGCAGTCGCGCTGACAGTCTGTTGCGCGCCGATTCCACCAGAGCCTGAGCCTGAGTCGTGCACTTGGCGACATCCGGCGGCGGATTTTCGCATTTCCGCAATCTCGAGCATGAAGCGCGCGAGCCACGGCGACGGGCTGCTCGGCGGACCGCTCGCGCCGGCGGAGTTACCACTGCCACGTGTCGCCGACCCGGAGGCGCTGACCGCGTCGACCGCGTTGACCGCGATTTGACCCGCCGCTTGGGTCCCCAAGGGGACGGCGAACGGCGTCCCCACGCTAGAAAACGCCGCGGCCGCGCTCTCTCGCGAAAGTTCCGCCGCGAATGCAGGGGAGCTGCCGTTGAGTTTGTTGCGGAGGTGACAGTTCCACAATGTGCTTGTATCGATGGTGCTCTTCACGACTGCGGCTCGGGGCTGACGCGACGTGTTGACGGCGGGAGTCGCGCTCGAAGGGGAGGCGGGGGGAGGGGGGAAGTTGAGCACCGCATCCGCGCCGTGCAGCTTCCTAGCCGCGCGGTCGTACGCGCGCGCGGCTTGCTCCGCGGAGGCGAAGGAGCCGAGCCACAGGCGCACCTTGCGCCGGGGCTCGCGGATCTCCGCGACCCACTTCCCCCACGTGCGCTGGCGCACGCCGCGGTAGCGGAAGAGGGAGTTTTCGGGGCCGCCTCGCGCGGCTGCCGCAGCGGCTGCTACTGCAGTAGCTGTCGAGATGGCTGTCATTCTACGGACGACTCCCCGGACTCCTAGTCGGACTCCTAGTCGGACTCCTAGTAGTCGGACTCCTAGTAGTCGGACTCCTAGTAGTCGGACTCCTAGTAGTCGGACTCCTAGTAGTCGGACTCCTAGTAGTCGGACTCCTAGTCGTCGAAGGCTCTGCTCGGGAACAGGGTCGGAGATTGAGACCGGTGACTGAAGCTGGCGCAGTGCTCGCCTGGAGATCCCGAATCGGGACGCTAATGTAGTAGTACTAGACTTGCGGAAAGGGTCGGACTACGAGCGTAACTCCAACGTTGGTGTCAGGGTAAGTGACATCACCTGCGGCGATTCTGCTATGCATGTGGAGCCTGCTGAAGATTCGGATACTGAGCGGAGCGAGGACTTGTGTGAGGCATGTGACACGAATAGAATGGTCGTTCAAGTAGTAGTGACTGCTTCGTCCTGACGCGGACTTGGGAGTCGGAGAAACGACCGAGTAACTTATTCAACCCTTGGAGTCGAAGAAAACGCGGGTGAGACGCGAGTGAGACGCGAGTAAGGCGGTGGTTGAGGAGCTCGAAGCAAAACTGACAGTTGCGCTGGACGCGGTGGTTATGAACGACGACGCAGTCGCTGCTGCGCCACGGGATGGGAGGTCGCTGCAACCAAAAAGAGCTCGTCCATGGGAAGAACGTCACTGAGATGACTCGCTCCGCTCGATCCGGGATCGTCGCTGCTGCACCATGGAATGGGAGGGTTGTCTACTCGTCCTATCGCAGCTGCCATGCCTTCGGATGGTCTGATGAGCCGAGAGCAAGGGAGATTTTGGGGGACGGGAAGCCTTGCGAGAAGGACAAGCCTTGCCATGAGAGCCGCCCGGAAATGACGACGGCAGGTCGCCCATGACTTGCACTTGTGGGGACGACGGGCGGCGAGTGTCACCCCCACTCCTATTGGTCCCATGTGCCGCGGCCACACGGAATCATACCCACGTACTGCACTTACTGCCGCTGATGCGTCTCTTGGTTGCATCAAGGTCCAGCGAGACTCTTTCCTGAGTTGGCTTGCAAGTTTTTGGCGAAATGGCGGTGACCCTCTATCGCTGGAACGGGCGACTTGCGTGGAGCAAGATCAATGGATATGGAGGAGAAACAGAAATGGATCTTTGAGCAGATGGAAATTGCTGATGCACAAAATTTGCATGTGAGATGGGGGTGGAGATTGGGATTTTGGAGGAGATTGGGATTGCGAATCGCGTTTCCCAGGTCGGGATGGAGGCGCGTAGCGAATCGTGGACACGGGTTGTGGTAATTCTCGGCGCGAAACGTAAACTCCAGTTCAGTTTTGAAAAGGTACAGTGCAAGCCGGACTGGTTTATGCAAGTGTGGGAAGTGATTTTTGCCCGGAACGACAGGGGAATCAGACCTGACGTGCGGGGAAATTTGATCCCCTGCCAAAGCAACGCACATGGCGCATGGTTTCATTTCCGAATTCCAATCTGATCCGTTCCGGTTGCATTGGTCACACTGCACTGCACTGCAACCAGTCCGTTGGCGCTTCTGCCAGGAGAAAGAACTGTCCCTCACCCGTGCAAACTCCAAAATACTGTACTGTATGAACTGGAGTGATATGAAAAGCAGGGGACACTCTCACCGCCATTACTGTAGCAATGAAGATCTGCGATTGGATTCCATCAGCCTAGTGTCGAGGATTTTCACGTGCTGCGTTCCGCAGGGCCAATGGGTCTTGAAAAGCTATCGTCGCGCTGGCATCACCTTTCTCACATCGACCACCACTTTCGTATCCGCTGGATCCGGGGCGGTCGCCAAAACCCCAAGGACAGTCCAGTCCAGACAAACCAGACATCGAAATCCTCGAAACAAGCAGACTCATGAGCCAGAAGGAAATTTCATTTACGAACACACGCAGATTTATTAGTAGCCATACATAGACACTTCAATTTTTCATCTTATGGATTTCAGTTATTCCTACAATTGATAAACCGTGTTGTGCATGCAAAGAAGCACGAATGAACTTCAATCATTCGAATGGGTTGATACGCGGGTCATGCTCTGTGGCAAGTGCCATACCCGTGCACAAGCAAGTAGGGCACATGACCTGACAAACCAGAGGAGAGGGCAGATAGGGGGGGGGGGGTGAAATGAACCACAAGGCAGAAACGAAAAATGTGTGGTAGGAATGGACCTCAGGCGCAGTGAGCATACTCATGGAGAGGCTTCAGGGCATAGCTTTCAATTCAAAAACCCCTAGACCACCCTCCCATGCCTTGTCCCCCACAGACCCCTATCCATGCCCTATGAGGTTCTTGCTGTTGCCCCTCAACCCTAAACCCCCCAGTCTCGTCTCACCTTGCGCAGGCCAGCGCAGTTGGGACACCTCTTGGCCACCGTCGTACCTCGTCTCCCTCCACCAACTGCCCCCTCCGCTCCTCTCCGTCCCACAAGGTGTGAGCCGCTGCCCCTTCAACCATAAACCCCAAGGCCCCCCACTCCCCTCTCACCTTGCGCAGGCCAGCGCAGTTGGGACACCTCTTGGCCACCATCATTCCTCGTCTCCCTCCCACCAGCCACCTCCTTTGTTCCTCTCCCTCCCATGACGTGTGAGTGGGTACCCCTCAACCGTAACACAAATCCACCATGCCTCCCTCTCACCATGCCTCCTCTCCCTCCTCAACCGTAACACAAATCCACCATGCCTCCCTCTCACCATGCCTCCTCTCCCTCCTCAACCGTAACACAAATCCACCATGCCTCCCTCTCACCATGCCTCCTCTCCCTCCTCAACCGTAACACAAATCCACCATGCCACCCTCTCACCATGCCTCCTCTCCCTCCTCAACCGTAACACCAATCCACCATGCCTCCCTCTCACCATGCCACCTCTCCCTCCTCAACCGTTACACAAATCCACCATGCCTCCCTCTCACCATGCCTCCTCTCCCTCCTCAACCGTAACACAAATCCACCATGCCTCCCTCTCACCATGCCTCCTCTCCCTCCTCAACCGTAACACAAATCCACCATGCCTCCCTCTCACCATGCCTCCTCTCCCTCCTCAACCGTAACACAAATCCACCATGCCTCCCTCTCACCATGCCTCCTCTCCCTCCTCAACCGTAACACAAATCCACCATGCCTCCCTCTCACCATGCCTCCTCTCCCTCCTCAACCGTAACACAAATCCACCATGCCTCCCTCTCACCTTGCGCAGGCCAGCGCAGTTGGGACACCTCTTGGCCACCGCCATGCCTCGTCTTCCACCAACTGCCCTCTCCGCTGCTGCTCCTGCTGCCACCGCACCGTTAGCAGCGGCACCCTCTCCTGCTGCTGTTGCCCCGCCTTGCACCGGGCCCTCTTCCCCCTCCAGCTGCACGTCAATGAGAGAGCCCGTGGCAGAGCAGCGCGCACACGCCAGGTAGCCTGGAAGGGGGAGGGGAGAGGGGGGGGACATGGGGGGAGAACAGGAGCAGGCAGGACAGTCAACGGAGGCGACGGAAGTACCACCCCCCTCCTTGCTGCCCCTCCCCCTCCAGCTGCATCTCGATGAGAGCGCCCGTGGCAGAGCAGCGCGCACACGCCAGGTAGCCTGGGGAATGGGGGGAGAGGGGAGGGGGGGGGGGTTTGGGGTGGGGGGATTGTGAAAGAAGTCAACAAAAGTGGTCAGAGTTAAAGGAAGCACATGCCTCTCCCCCTCCTGCTGCACATCGATGAGAGAGCCTGTGACAGAGCAGCAGGCACACGCCAGGTAGCCTGGGGAGGAGGAGGGGGGGGGGGGGGGTGTTTGAATGAAGTCGGCGAAAGCAGTCAGAAGGAAGCACACGCCTTCCTCCCTCCAGCTGCATGTCGATGAGAGAGCCCGTGGCAGAGCAGCGCGCACACGCCAGGTAGCCTGGGGAATGGGGGGAGAAGGAGGGGGCGGGGGGGGGGGAAGCAGTCAACATAAGTCAACAGAGTCAAAGAGAACACATGCCCTCTTCCCCCTCCAGCTGCACGTCGATGAGAGAGCCCGTGGCAGAGCAGCGAGCCTGGAAGCCTGGAAGGGGGGACAGGGTGACTTTTGAGTCGACTCAAAAGTCGCCTGGAAGGGGGGACAGGAGCACCAGCAGTCGGGGACCGTCAAGTGAAGTGAGGGCATGAGACGAGATGGTTGAGCGCCAAGTATGTCTGCAAGCATGCGCCTCCGGTCCCTGGCAGTACATGCATGCACACGCCCCCAGCCCGTGGCAGTACATGCACCGCTTGTGGTGCTCCTGCTGCTTCACATGTGCTTGCAATGCAACCATGCTTACAACCATGCCTAAAACCATGCATGCAAAAGCTAAGGGGTGAACACAAATACCCGTGGCAGTACAACCATACATACTCCGCTTGTGCTCCTGCTGCTTCACATGTGCCTACCTACAACAACCATGCTTGCAAAAACTAACAGGTACACATACACACTTGACCCATGGCAGTACATGCATGCATACATACCCGACCCGTGGCAGTACATGCATCGCTTGTGCTCCTGCTGCTTCACGTTATTCACTTCCACCACCAGCAGCGCTGACAGCACGCCCACTCCGCCCCCTGTGAAGGACGCCACAATAGGGTCGACTTGACTGCACAGGGGATAGGGTTCGGGTGGGGTGGGGTGTTGAGTGGGGGGGGAGGGGGAATAAGGAGGGCAGAAACGTTATTCACTTCCACCACCAGCAGCGCCAAAAGCCCGCCCACTCCGCCCCCTGTTAACGAGGCTACTATGGGATCCACTTGACTGTTGGGTAGGAGGGGACGCCAGTATGGGGTCCACTTGGCTGAGAGGGGTGGGGTGGGGAGTGTTGAGGGCAGTGACGGGTGCGGAATGGATGGATGGTGACGCCCACGAACTGTTGACTCTCACCATCACCAGCACTGACAGCACGCCCACTCCGCCCCCTGTGAAGGGCAGCCATTATGGGGTCCACTTGGCTGAGGAACAGGGGGGGGAGTAAGGGGAGTGTTGAGAGAAGGCGGATAGGGGAGGAGGGAGTCATTCACTTCCACCACCAGCAGTGCTGACAGCACCCCCACTCCGCCCCCTGTGAAGGACGCCACTATGGGGTGGTCAACTTGGCTGCAGTGGAGAGTAGAGACGAGGAGAGAGGAGGAGAGGAGAGGAGAGGAGAGGGGAGGAGAGGGGAGGAGAGGAGAGGAGAGGAGAGGAGAGGGGAGGGGAGGAGAGGAGAGGAGAGGAGAGGAGAGGAGAGGAGAGGAGAGGAGAGGAGAGGAGAGTGTCAGGAACTCAAGCATTGGACTGGATTAGGAAATGGGGAGCTTACATAGTTGAGGAGGAGGAGGGGAGCTTGGTTGGGAGTTTGGCAAAGATTATTGGCCTCCCAAATAAGTTGGGTTCGCCAACATATTGGGGGTCCAGTCGTCTTAACTAAGATAACTGGGGGTTTCAATAATCTGGGTTGGGATTATTGGGGGTCCCAATTGGGAACCCAACCAAATTGGGAACTTAAAATTGGAAACCCAACCCTCAAGACTAACTAATCTATGTAGGCCAACAGAGAGGAGTGTTGAGAAAGAGCGAAGGAAAGGTTCAGCGGTTGCTCTATTCACTTCCACCAACAGCAGCAACATGGGTAGAGCGAGGGAGGAGCGAGGGAGGAGCGAGGGAGGAGCGAGGGAGGAGCGAGGGAGGAGCGAGGGAGGAGCGAGGGAGGAGCGAGGGAGGAGCGAGGGAGGAGCAGCTGACCTGAGCTGGGCCGGCAGGTGGATACTGCGGATGAAGTCAGCATACGAGGTGCCTCCAATGCCCAGATGCAGCTCGAGCTGACAGTAGGGAGAGAAACGGGAGAGAGGACGGGAGAGTGGGGAGTGGGGAGTGGGGAGGGGTGTGGGGAGAAGAGAGGTCAGGATGAAGTCGGCGTATGAGGTGCCTCCAATGCCCAGATGCAGCTCCAGCTGATAGTCGAGTGGGGGGAGGGAGGTGGGAGGGAGGTGGGAGGGGGATGGGAGGGGGGTGGGAGGGGGGTGGGAGGGGGGGTGGGAGGTGGGTGGGAGGGGGGTGGGAGGTGGGTGGGAGGTGGGTGGGAGGGGGGTGGGAGGTGGGTGGGAGGGGGGTTGGAGGGGGGTGGGAGGGGGAGGAGGGAGGGGAGAATGTGATGTGAGATGTGCCTCAAAGGAGGGGCTGCGGATGAAGTCAGCATACGAGGTTCCTGCAATTCCCAGAGATAGAGCTTCAGCTGCTTGTTGAGGGAAAGTGGGAGAAAGGAGGAGGTTTGGGGAGAAGGAGGGCGCCAAGTGAACAGGGCAAGCACCAAGATAAGCAAAGCGCCCTTCTGTATTCAGTACTGCACAGAACAGCTATCTTACCGCAAACGCTCTGGCAGGGCAGCGTTTAGCGTTTAAATGCTAAACGCACCCAAAAACGCTAAACGCCCGGCTAAAATTTTAGGGGCAGCCCGGCGAAAAAAAACGCAAATGTTTTTCCGTAATATTGCGTCTTGGCGATTTCAACCAGGTCATTCGCCAAGTCGCAAATGCCAACCTAACGACCAAGAAACGCATCCAAACCTTTTGGCCCGCTCAACCGCACAGCACCCTATTCATCTACGACTTCCAACCTTACCACTTTCTCCCCTCCTTCCCTCACAATCTCTTCCCCGTCAAGAACGGAAACCCTAAAATTCCGCACGCCATAGCCGTAGCTCGGATCCCACCCTATTCTCGTCGCTATTCTCACACCTCCCACCGTAGCCACCTGATTTCGCTTGAAGTTGAGGGGCCGCGCCCATGTCGAACCCCCCTTATGCCGCGGACGCTAATCCTACAGCATCTGCAGCGTCAAATATATTTGTGTGTGGAAAAACTTAAAGTAAAACTGCTGTGTAGCATAATCCCCTTGCCTCCCCCTACCTCTCCCCGGTTAATTTAAGCTGCCCGGGGGGGAAATTTCAGCTGCCCGGACGTGTGTTTACCGTAGCGTTTAGAAACCCAAGAAAGAAGGTGTGTTTATCGTTTAAAAGCTTCGATTAAAACGCTAAACGCGTTTACGGTAACATAGCAGAACAGTGCATGCCACTCCCAGTGGGTAGGAGCCACGAGGCCACCAAAGATAATAAGCAATGCATGCCATGAGCAGTGCATCCCATGGGTAGCATGACTTACAGTAGGCACTATGAGGCCGCCAAAGGTGATGAGTCTGCCCCATGGCAAGCAGCAGCAGTGCATCCCTTGAACACTGTTCCCCCTCCCTCCCCCCCCCCCTCTCCCCCCTCCTGAACAGCTCCCCACTACTTCACTCACGCTGTGCATCCCCTTACAGTGGGCGCTATGAGGCCATCAAAGCCGATGAGGCTGCCCATGGCAGTCAGCGGCAGTGCATCCCATGAGCACTGTTCCCCCCTCTCGCTCCCTCATCCCATGAGCACTGTTCCCCCCTCTCGCTCCCTCATCCCATGAGCACTGTTCCCCCCTCTCGCTCCCTCATCCCATGAAACCTCACGAGCAGCATGAGTAACCCCTTACAGTGGGCGCGATGAGCCCGCCAAAGATGATGAGGCTGCCCACGAGGACGGCGAACGTGACGTAGTAGTCCTTGAGGGTGTTCGTTTTCTGGTGTAGCGGGGAGGAGGGGAGGGGAGGGAGAGGAAGGGGCGGAGGGCGGAGGGCGGAAGGCGGAGGGCGGAGGGCGGAGGGCGGAGAGGGGGGGGGAAGGGGGGGGGAGGGAAGTGGTAGACGCAGGCGAGATGAGAACTAGTTACACTAGCAGGAAAACGTGACGTGCTACAGTACTTCTTCAACGTGTTTGTGTTCTGCATTCGTGAGAGAGGGGGAGAAAAAGCGGGGGGGGAGTTGGTGGGGGGAGGGGAAAGTGGGGAGTGCAACACAGCCAGGCAAGATCGGGTCAGCTACACTAGGAATGCAAGTGTGACGTAGATTTTGTGGTCAAGTAGTTTGCCTCTGATACGTCTCAAAAGTTAAGTACTTCACAAAAAACGCGACTCTTTTTCTATTTAGATTTCTAAAAAATCACCTACAACTAGGAAGGCAAATGTAGTTACACACGGCATAGTACTCCACAAGGGTGCGTGCTTTCTGTGTTAGTGTGGGGGGGGTAAGGGGGTGTTTGGGGGGGGGGGGTGGGGGCGGAAGGCTTGGGGAGTTGGGAGGAAGACAGTAACGAACGGGTACGTAAATCATTCTAAAAGGCTCACAAGGGGGGGAAGAAAAGGGATGGACGAGGGAGGGGTCCGGCATCTCCTCTTCCTCCTCCTCTGGCCGCCCTCCCTGTGCCGCCCGTGCAGCAATAACGCACCTCTAAGTGGCATGGCACTTCTTTAGAGGCGCCTCAGAAGGGGATGGAGGAGGGGTACTCGAGTCGGGCATCTCCTCTTCCTCCTCCTCTGGGAGCCCTCCCAGTCTCGCCCGGGCGGCAATAACGTGCTTTTAGCATCGCTAATTAAACTCACAAGCGGAGGGAGGAAAGGAAGGAATGGAGCTTGGGTGCTTGGGCATCTCCTCTTCCTCCTCCTCCCCAAGCCCCCCAGGCTCGCCCGTGCGGGGAGGCACCAACGCGTTTCTAGCTTATGACCACTAAGCAGACTTACAAGCGGAGGGAGGAAGGGGATGGAGGAGGGGTACTCGGGCATCTCCTCTTCCTCCTCCTCCCCGAGCCCCCCCAGTCTCGCCCGGGCGGCGGCTGCTGCTGCCCTGTTGCGGCTCTCCTCCGCGTTCTTGATCTCCTGCTGAATGCGCAGCCGGCGAATCTGGTTGTAAGGGGGGCAGAAGGAGGCCCAGGGGAGAGGCAGGGTTGTGGTTGTAAGGGGGACAGAAGGAGGCCCAGACGAACACCCGTCCGGGCCCTCCATGATGCACTCGCTCACACCCCCTCTCCTCTCACTTCAAAGTCTCACCTCCTCCAGCAGCAGGAAGATCCGGTTCCGCCGAGACGTGAAGTTATCCCGTATCTCCGTCAGCTGCATGCGAGCACAGTCCTGCACTGCAGGGCGTATGCTCCGGGCCCTCCTTACTCACCCAAACTCACCTCTTACCTTCCCCCTCCCTCTCCGCCGCACCTCTTTCAGCAGCAGGAGGATCCGGTTCCTCCTGGGCGTGATATTGTCCCGTATCTCCGTCAGCTGGATGCGACCAAAGTCCTGCACTGCAGGGAGGCCGGTCCGGCTTATCTATTGCATTCCCCCCTCGCCTCTTACCGTCTCCCGTCTCCGTACCACTCCCTCACCTCTTCCAGCAACAGGAGGATGCGGTTGCGTCTTGAGGTCATGCTGTCTCTGATCTGATCTCCCTCACCTGCATGCTGTCTCTGATCTGATCTCCCTCACCTGCATGCTGTCTCTGATCTGATCTCCCTCACCTGCATGCTGTCTCTGATCTGATCTCCCTCACCTGCATGCTGTCTCTGATCTGATCTCCCTCACCTGCATGCTGTCTCTGATCTGATCTCCCTCACCTGCATGCTGTCTCTGATCTGATCTCCCTCACCTGCATGCGCGCAAAGTCCTGCAGGGCGTCCGGACCCTCGATGATGCACTCACACACACCCCCTCTCGTCCCGCTTCAGAGCCTCACCTCTTCCAGCAGCAGGAAGATCCTGTTCCTCCGAGATGTGATATTATCCCTAATTTCCGTCAGCTGCATGCGAGCAAAGTCCTGCAGGGCGTCCGGGCCCTCTATGATGCAGAACTCGCCCAGAACCGCCGCTGCTGAGGCCCCGGCTGTAGCAGAGCCCCCAGCAGCACCGGCTGTAGCAGCAGCACCTGCAGACGCAGCACCAGGCGCGCTGGCTATAGCACCAGCTGTAGCTGTTTCCGCCCCACTTTCTGCCACGCTGCCGCCTGTAGCGCTGTCCAGAAGGGCAGCGACAGCAGCGGCTGAAGCGGTGGTTTCCTGCCAGCTCCTGCTGCTACCCGGCTTGGGGCCTGGCACTGCCTTCTTGAGCGCTGGCGAATCCTTGGCGCTGCAGGGAGGAATACGAGAGGGGAAGGGGAGGAGGGGGGGAGGGGGGGGGGGAGGGGAGGAAGGGGGTGGGGTTGGGGAGGAGAAAGGAGTATCAGCGACAGCAGCAGCTGAAGCCGTGGTTTCCTGTCAGCTCCGACTGCTGCCCGGCTTGGGGCCTGGAACTGCTTTCTTGAGCGCTGGCGAATCCTTGGCGCTGCAGGGGGGAATAAGAGCGACGGTGGGGGAGGGCGGAAGGGGGGAAGGGGGAAGAGAGGGGAGGAGGAGGGAGGGGGAAGGGGGTTGGTTGGGTGAGGAGTATCAGCGACGATCAGCAATGGTCTCCTGCCAGCTCCTGCTGGAGCCTGCTGGTTCTGCTTTCTTGAGTGCTGACGATTCTGAGTGCTGCAAGGAGGCAATAAGGGCACGGACGCATGGACACAGCGCGGCTGACAAGGCGTCACAGCACTCGAAATCAAATCCATGGAATCAACTCCCGCTCTCGTTGACAGTAATGTCTGAGCTGGTGCGTCAAATGATCGTCACAGAGATCGCTATTCACACTGGCGATCTCTCGTCCCTACTGACGCACTCACATCACATTAATCACATCACATTAATCCCGTCGTCTCGCAAATCCCCGTCCGACTCGTTTTGCTAACCCGCAGGCTGCAAATTTCTTGACCGGAGTTAACCCACTGACGCTTCCCGTCGCCGCACCTTTCCCCGTCCGTCCCATTGACTTTTCCAGTCGACTAAGTGGTCGCTTCCCGTCGTCTCACCATGTCCCCGTCCGATTAGTCTTCCAGCAGCGCGTTTCGACGAACCAGGCGACGCAGGCTGGAAGCATTTTGACTGTGTTAACCCACTGACGCTATCCGCCGTCTCACCATTTCCCCTCGTCTCACCATTTCCCCTCGTCGCACCTTTCCCCGTCCGATTCGTCTTCTAGCAGCGCGTTTCGACAAACCAGGTGACGCGAGCCTCGCGACGAATCCAGGCTCAACCTCGCGTGACGGCGCTGTCCGTCGCGCGTCGGTCGAAGCGCAGGTGAAAACAACAACGCCGCGCTGGATTGACCAGATGCACCGAATGCAACAGAAGCCGAAGATGCGCAGAAGCTAGGAGGCCGGATGCAGCCATCGCAGGAGACGCAATCGCTCGGCCTCGCTGCGGCTTGGATGCAAGCTCGCGGCGCGGGGATGCGCAAGTAGGACGCAGAGTGTGCCATTAGAGTTGCAGCTAAGCAACGAAAATCTGCTTACGGAACCAAGCCGCTAAGCAGTAGCGGGTACAACGCGTGCCTGGAAGGAACGGAAACTCTTTGGTTGCTTGCTGCTGCTGCTGCTGCTGTGGGTGGCGATGGCACAATGAGAAGAGCAGCCTGTTTCCCCTGCTTGTTTGAATGGACTGAGGGTGTGGTACATAGGTGACACGGAGGATTTATCCGACAACCCCAAAGCCAGGAGGAGCTCCCAAAGAGGTCAACCTCGAGATACGCGATCAGCCATATAATGGCTCTATAACTCACATGTTCTTATTAATATATATTCCTCTTTCAACACGACCTTTTACAAAACTTTGCTGGTGAGTAGGTTTCACCATACGATGAAGATCGATATGATGCGTAAATTTAAAGAAAATATAGTTTGTGTGACATCAGGGCACGGAGCAGTACATTCAAACTGGAATTTATTTGGATGGGGTCTACATTTTATTGGATATGCTCACGCACCATTACAACTAAGATTCTTTCATGATATATGCCTCTAATAAGAGATTAGTACAAGAAATGTGACGCCAGCTGATATCAAGCAATGTGCTTGACCAGGGAAATGCACCAGATTAGACTACTGCTACAAGTGGGTTCCGCCTAAGACCTGGTGCACATGCAGCCATGGCAACACGGCTCCTCAGCACGGCAGCTGCATTTGCTAGCTTTCCGTCTCAGCGCCGCTCTCAGCACATGGGCACCGCTCTCAGCACAAGGGAACTGCTCTCAGCACACGGGCACCGCACTCAGCACATGGGCACCGCACTCAGCACATGGGCACCGCACTCAGCACATGGGCACCACTCTCAGCACAAGGGCACAGGGCTAAACATGTTCACGGCCCCCCGTTGGAACGTCCCCCTCAAAGCCCCCCACTTGTACCTCTCCGTCGTAATCGACCCGAAGAAACTCCTCGGACTCAAATCAACCTGCTTAACTAAGTTGTAGTACGAAATGGTCGACCCGGGCGGGTACTTGTTCGCCGCATCAAGGATCCACGTGCGGAGTGCGACGGTTGAGGTTGTAGGGCTGGACGTCCACTTGCCGTTGACGCCGAAGAGGGGAAAGCCGGTTGCGCCGCCTGAGCGGGAATCAAAGACGGTGATGTTGCGTGGGGGGAGCGGGCCGGAGAGCAGGCTGCTGTCGACCTTGAACTTGAGGTTGATCTTTCCTTGCATCCTGGGAGGAAGGGAGGGGACGGAAACGGGCTAGTCAGTTTGAGACTGCGTGGTGAACCCAGTAACAGCGCTGGGCGGGAGAGGACCGGAGAGCAGGCTGCTGTCGACTTTGAACTTGAGGTTGATCTTGCCTTGCATTCTGGGAGAGGGAGGGGGGGGGTTGGAGGTGGGGGGAGGGGGGGAGAGGGAGAAAGGACACTCGAGTCTCAGTGGATGCATGGTGACAGTATCAGTGCTGCGCATGGGGCGAACGGGCCGGAGAACAGGCTGCTGTCGACTGTGAATTTGAGGTTGATCTTGCCTTCCATCCTGGGAGGTGGGGGGGGTGAAGGAGGAGAGAGGACAACTCTGTGAGTTTGAGTGGAGGTGCGGTGAAGGTGTCAGCGGTGTGCGGGGGGAGTGGGCCGAAGAGCATGCTGCTGTCGACCTTGTTTTGAGATTCATCTTGCCTTGCATCCCGAAGTAAGCGGATAGGGAAGAGGAGAACGAGTCGGTAAGCAGGCGTTGGCAGTGGTTCCCAACGTCAACCGAGGAAATGTGCAGGTTGCTTCAAGAATCACTGAAAAGTGCGACTCACTGGAAGGCGCAGATGCGGAGAGTTTACGTCCGACGTTTGATTGAGCTCGAGGACAGCACGACTCTTGGAAAGTACATCAGCATTCCATCAACTCCACGAAAAAGGATTGCACGACTCACTAAAAAACGGAGATACCCGACGCTCCCACATCGCCGCTATTCTGGCCGGACGGCTATCGCGCTACCCAAACGCTCTCTATTTCCTTGGCAACTCACTGGAAGACGGAGGCGCGGAGAGTACGCGTCGACGATCTCTCAAGCACGAGCGAAGCAGACAGTACAGATGGTAACCAGCAAGTAGATGGTAACCAGCAAGTAGATGGTAACCAGCACGTCAACGGTATCGCGACTCACTGGAAGACGGAGATGCGCATAGTGCCCGTGGCTCCGATGTCGCCGAGCGGATGGTACTTGAGCACCTTGTTGGGCTGCAGACCCGCTAGAAGCACACCTGCAGTCAGAAACGGGGATGGAAAATGTTCAAGTGCGTGCGCGGAGTATTGTGGCTCTGGAAGGCCACGAGTAGTAACCAGCGCGCATATGGTAACCAGCAAGTACATGATAACCAGCAAGCATATGGTGACCAGCAAGTACATGGTAACAACATATACATGGTGACCAGCAAGTACATAAAAAGCAGACGATGTTGAGCGGGAGAGGTCGCAGGTGAGAAACGGCTGAGAGAAACGGCGGTAAAAACGGCGAGGAGTAGCGGCGGAGAGAAACGGCGTTCACTGCGGAGAAACGGCGGAGCCGGGAATCAACGAATGCCAAGAGACATCACGACGTCACGACAGTCCGAGGCTGACAAGCGTCAGGCTGGGATAATTCTGGACGATTTTTAAGTCGCCACAAAAGGAAATGCTGGGGCGTATTCTGAGAAACTTCCAACGGACTCTGCTGACGTATTCATATCTGGACGTATTCTGAGAGACCTCAATGGATTCTGCTGGACGTACGTGGGTCGCCTCATTAGGTACTGGTGGAATGAACGCGGGGAAGGAACATTCCTTACATCGAGGGACGCCGGGGAAAGGAACGAACATTCCTTACATCGAGGGACGCCGGGGAAAGGAACGAACATTCCTTACATCGAGGGACGCCGGGGAAAGGAACGAACATTCCTTACATCGAGGGACGCCGGGGAAAGGAACGAACATTCCTTACATCGAGGGACGCCGGGGAAAGGAACGAACGCGGCGAGACCATTCCCGACTTGGGCATGCGCGACGACGACGAGCGACAACACGAGAAGACCTGTCGGGTTGGTAGAGTGTGAGATTGATAAGAGTGTCTTGTCAGTCGACTGAACAGAAACGAGCAGACGGCTAATGTTGAGTAGAGAGCCCTGGGAAAAAACGAGCAAACGGACGTGTAAAAGCAACACGCGGCGAGACCACCCCCAGCTTGGACCTTGAGCGGCGGCGACGAGCGAGGGGACGAGAAGACCTGTCGGGAAGGTTCGAGAGAACGAGAAAGAGAAGTTCGAGAGACTTAGAGAGCGCACCTGAGAGCAGAAAGTCCCGCAACAAGGCCATTCTTCTATTCCTCAACCGAGTGCCTAGCGCTTCTTCTGCTAAGATCGCAGGGAATAGCAGTTCTGGAGACGAGAGATTGAGATGCAATACCGAGTTGTGTGCGAGTGCATACTTCAGTTTATGAGGTAGTCTGACTATGTATGCTGGCGTTCGGTCTGGTGGAACCAAGCTTCTGCAAGCTTGCAAGCTCGGTGGGGCAGCAGGACAAGGCGACTGTCGTCAAATTTGCGCCTTTCGCTCAGAAGGATGTGGTGGTGGAATGTACAGAGACCAAATTCCGACACGAATGCTGCCAATTCTGTACGCGCTTCGAGAGGAACAATTGACCCTTCAGCCCTGAACGTGCGAGGGGGCGCCGCAAGTCACGGGCGCGAGGCCCGTGTTGGACGCGACACCAATCCCATTTATTGTTCTTCCTGCAACCACTTTATAGCCAACCGTTGAATATTGCAGATCTACATGGTTTCTGAATCAGCTTACGAACATTATGGGACGTTGATTAACATTTCTACTTATTATAACATGAAAAGTTTCAAGTAATATCAGGGACTTTCAGATTAGCTAATAATGTAAGGAATGACGATTCCTTACTGGGGCTCGCCACAGCGAGTACCGCGAACAGTGCGGGTCCGCAGGCTCGGCCCTCGGTTATCGCGCCAAAACCAGCCCCCGTCGTCCCTTTGGCCCCAACCTGACCCCGAGTCGCCCCGAACCCGTTTTGACCCCGTCACCCTCGGACTATCGAGCCCTTGACTGGTCCAACCCTTGACATTTCAACCTGGTCAACTCGCACTATTTAAAGCCGTTGACCTTAAACGTGCAAGATTAATAAACATGATAGGGGCAAAAAGTTGGACACGGTATCAGAATGAGAGAAGTGAATGATGGGGTAGAGGGAGAGTACAGATAGATATACCTAAGTATTGTACCCTCTAGGAGGTGACCCTATACAGTCTATGCAAACATACCGTAATCCCCCGTATATAACACCCGCCGAAATAGTCACTCCGCGGGTGGTTTATGCGGGGGAGAGCTTATGATAGGGTGAATTTAGGAGAGCACCCGCTTTTCGGGGGCTGCATTTTACATAACACCTCCTCGTTTTATGCAGCAAAGAACAGTATTTCGTAGTTTTTTCAAGCTCAGCTCGATTGGGAAAAAATCGAACAGGATGAAAAACGCCAATGTCAACTACCATTAGTAGCGAAAAAACGGGCAGAAAACATCAACACAAGTTGCAGCGCGAAATCGAAACGTCAGCAAAGGTCGAGACGGGAGGATTTCGACCGTTGAATTCGCGGATTCTGTTGTGATTTGACGGTCAGAATCCTCCCGAGCGAAATCCACCCGTCGAAGTCGCGGATTCTGTCGCGATCATGACGGTCGCAGGTGCCGCACAAACCTGGCCCTGACTACAACACTCAGCAGGGATTGGCCAACGACGATTGGTTTGTGAGTTCCGTCGTAGCGGATGCGGTACCTCGCTAACAGTCGCTCCGCACATTTTTGAACACCCGTGGCCTAAAACACTCAAATTCAAATTGCATTTTACATAACACATGGGCACTATATTTTTCCGGGCCACTGTTAACACCCAGTCATTTTTTTAGTGAATTTTTATATACACCATAGGGTGTTATATACGGGGGATTACGGTAACAATTATACATGTTTGACACACCCCCTAGACTGCATAGGGGAATGTCCTAAAGAAGCAGCTCAGGGCGGCACTACTAGTCCAACCTCTGAGACAAGGTCTAAGAGACCAGTCAGAAGGAGTACAGACAAGGCGAGAACAAGACCAGGGCGGCACTACTAGTCCAGCCACTGGGAGAGGACAC